TGTTGCAGGATTGAGCGAGGGAGTGCAGCCCTTAACTGTTCCAGATCAGGAAGTCGACCCATTGCTGTTCAAGGAGACGTCTCGTCCAGGCACTTTGAAACTTGACTTGCAGACACTCTTGCGCTCTGAACAAGAGTTCAACAGCAACAAGTCCTGGAGCACCGTTAACCAAGGAAATCTGGTCGAGGTCGACGCCAGTATTGAACGCGGCGGGAGGAGGGCCATTGATTGCGGAGAGGACCGCTCGAGCTTTTTTCGGGCCACCATTGGCAGCAACAACAACAACTACGTCGACAGTGCTGTCGACGATGAGAGCGATGACGATGAGGACGATACCGAGGGCGAAGAATCCGAGTTTGAGGAACTAGGCGAAGACATGATCAAGTTTGTCGACCTGCAGTCTTCCGTCGTTCCCCGCCGAGACTCTAGAGCATCTTCCTTCTCGATGTTGATGCCTCCCGGCGGGAGCCATTCTGCAGCAACGACACCCGATTTGTCGTCGGCCGTTCTGATGAAGAACATGTGGAGCGCCAACGGATCTGCCCGACGAAGCGCCAGCACCACGCCTCTCCACCACCCAGCCTTTCAGCAAGTGTCTCAGCAGCAGCAACATCACCACCATCAGCACCAGCACCACCAGCATTATTCTCAGTCCCACTGCAATTCGGCCAACCGAAGCAGTGGCGGGAGCACTCATTCCAGCAGCAGCGGTGGCAGTCTCTTGGATGACTACTTTAGCCGACCTCAAGAGCAGCACCAGTTGCAGCAAAGTGCCCCCGTTGGACTCGGACTTGGATTGTCTGGACTTGGCCGATCCCCCGAACAACCCTCAACTGAACGATTCCTTTCAGCACCACCCCGTGATGCTCCACCACCACCACCACCTTCGAGACCTCTCCCACCATTCCCCATGTCCCATTCCCGGTCGGGCTCCCCACGCGCCCACCCCTTATCTAACTCCCCCCGCGGCCACGACAGCTCCCCCACTTTCCCTTCCGCCCCTTCTTCCCATTACCAACTCAACCACCACCTCAACAACAGTAACAATAACAACAATGCAATCCGCCCACCACCATCGACACCCCTCCCCCCACTCCCCTCCCGACCCCGATACTCGTACCGAGAACACACTAAGAGCCAGCTCCTCCAGGCCAAAGTTCCTACGCACAGACGGACTTGCAGCCACGGGTTTGCGATTGAGAATGTGAGCCAGTTCTTGAAACGCCGGACGTATGGCAAGACCTTGACCCGCGATACCATGCACCGTGGCCTTCGACGACGCGACTCTGTCTGATTGTGTTCCCCCAATACATTGAATAAAATATCAAAAAGAATAATTCCTGGTGAAATATGTGCTGGAAGTGAGAACGAAAATGAAAACGGGGATCTCGATCAGATAAAATGGCGATGACTCCTTTTAAAGGCTACCCGAGATCCCGGATAGCCTCTCAAGAAGTCGCAAAGGGGTGAGGTAACCTGAAACATGATCAGTGGGTACGTGGCGCCCGATCGATTAAAAAAATTGTGCGCGTACAGTAGGGCTTTCAGTCACGTGCATTGATAGCGAGAAAGGAAATAAAAGAGCGAGAATTGGCGCACCCCATTTCATCTCTTTTTTTCCATCCACACTCACATTCACCCACAAACCTTTACCCATCACTCCCACACACACACGCAACTATAACAATGTGCTTCGCCGTTAAATGCAACCAGTGCGGAAAGACGGTATGTAAGCATGCCACACTCATGGAGCCGACCACAGAAACCTCTCTTTCATTACCGCTGCGCACCACTCTTGGATATCTCTTTGGTATCTAACCCATTCAAATCTTTCTCCCTCTTCTCGAATAGACCTGGAAGGGTTGTGGCATGGTACCGTAGAAAACACAACAAGCACAAAAAGTCAATTGCAATTCGAGAGTGTTTTGTCATCTTTGTTAGGAAGTCGTCCTTACTAATGTTTGTATCTCACGCTTTTTCATCCCTTCTCGTATCTCCTCCACAACGACATGTCACTTCCGGAAAACAGCACGTTGAGCAAGGTAAAGAATGAATGTTAACATTGTTGTCATTGTATGACCCTGTTAATTGCACAGTCAAGAGACCGATCACATCATCTGACGCTACGTTCTTTTTCTTCTCATACCTTCCACCAAAAACAGTTATGAAGGATGTTCCCAAGAGCCAGCAGTGCGAATGCCCCCGCGAAGGTTCATCTTGCATCATTTCCAACCGCCCCGTCGCTCATGATAAATCCTTTGCCCCCGAAAACACCCACAACATGTGCTGATGACCTGTTTCTTTCTTTTTTCTCTTCCTTTTGTTTACTATTTCCACCACACTTAATGCTTGTTGTTTGTTACTCTACCCGGGATGAATGAAAAAAGGAGCGGCACCAGCATCCCAGGTTGTCAACCAGGCCGAGGGAGGTGGACATTAATAGCAGTTCATCCAGAACAACATGACTTGTAGCTCAGAGCGAGCGATGAACAAGACGATGCTCCTGTTTACCATACATAACAACAAACCTTCGCCCTTTTCTTTTCTATTTCTACTTCTCCTCGGATACTTTTACCAACTTTCCACACAGGTTGACATCCAGACTCCTCTCCTAAAGGATCTTGTGTCCAACGTATGTTTTTCTTTTTTTCCCGCAAATCCGCAAATAAAGAACCATATGACTTTTTTGTGCAACTCTAATTAGCGTCATCAATGCTCATACATGCTATCCCTTTGTTATGTTGTGGAATGGGAAAGTGAAGAGGCGCTGTTACTACTAATACAATAGACGACGGACGACGTATGAACGAAGGATTAGCATAGCTTTCTCCGACTCTCAAAGTTCATAGGACAAACAAGCGGGCTGAGGTTGAGGTTGGCGTCGGTGAAACAAAGAATGGTCCTGTATGGGCGAAATAGAATGATATCGACTCGAAGCAGATATGTCCAAGCGGTCGGAGACAACTCCGACGCGTGTCCAACCCAAATCGTAGCACCTTCATCAATATAAAAGAGGACGTAGTCTGGCCCCTCTAGGTCTTTTGGCCCTACGTTGCTCCCAAGGTATCAGCAATAACAAGGACGACGAAGGACACACGGATGAAAATAAGGCACTAATCCTACGCCTGCTCTTGTCTCCTTATTTATTTCTTCAATTTTTTTAACCTGCCCAAGGTCATTCCCTTGACTCCGTTTCTCACCACTTCAATCCGTTATACCTCAGTTTGCCAAGTGCCATGATCCTACGGCTAGCAATTAAGCTATACACACTTGCCGTGAGCACGTTAACAGAACGAATATATCTTGCGCCTGAGTGGAGGCATCTGAGGGACTGACTCTTTGTTATATGTGTCAAACACGACACTCATTTGCCACGCCTTCTCTTTCTCCTTCCCCTCGCCTTACGTTCCTGGCTTCCCCTCGCTTATCTTCCTGGCTTCCCCTTGTACCTATACAACATATGTATTTTCCATTCCCGACATATGCCAAATGCCGCAGGAACGCCTTTGCATATGATCGTGTGCTTGGTACTCAGCAGTGGAGTACATTGGGTTTGTTACGTTGCCCGCTTCGCCAGGAGGCTGTATTTACTTTCTCTTCGTCTCTCTCTCCTTTCCCTTCAGATACACGCAACCTCCCCCACAAACAAAAAACAAAGCGGGATTCTTCGCTAAGCTAACTTGATCAAAGCAAAGTTGAGCTACCATTGACAATAACGCGTCGTTCTGTTGCTGCCTCCTTGCAACTAATCAAGCAACTTTAGTGCTAGTCGCTCTACGGCCAGTTGGTCTTTTTGCCAAGGTCCTTCCTTCCTTCTTTTTATCAGGACATGGAAAGGTACTAAACGCACTTGTTGGTTATTGGGGTTCTCTGGTAGCCCATTACGATGAAGAAAAGGCTCAGTATAGTCACTATTAAATGATGACAGAACGCATATGTTGCGACTCCTAAGCATTGATTGTTCATCGTCCAATTCGCCGCTCCTTTTTTTTTTTTTTCGTAGTTTCAATGTTGCCTTTGCTCACTTCAGACAAATAGAAAATGGAAGGGAAGAAAAAGGAGGGACGAGGAGACCAATGGGTTCAGTCTCTCAGAATGGTTCATTCAGCAGCTTCTTTCCTCATCGTGCTCGTAAGCCCAATGGCCATGACCTTGGTTCAATTTCTATTGCTTCTCCTGTTTTCACCTACCCCTTTCCTTGCCTTCTTGCTCCTTTTTTCTTCTAACCAAGAACCAAAATGAGCTTTGCTTACACACCCAATATTTTTTGTCCCTTCTCCCCTTCTGTCCCTACTATCCCAACGGAGGCACGACATCCATATAGGCACACCGGCAAGAAGGTACGAAGAAGCTCCTTTTAGTTTATTATCATATCCTGGCTCTTTCACTTGTATTGTGTTTTGCTACATATCCCCACAGCCCATCCCATCTCTTGTTTATTTTGCACGGTGACTATCACTTCGTGATGTGCGTTGTGTTTTGTTTTACCTGCATGCAGTTCAATACTGAGAGTGAGGCAGGCCCTTGCAGAGGAAAAAAGTCAACTTTGTTTCCACCTCGCTTTGTCTCTCACATCTCTCCGAGTTTTTGTTTTAGTAGGCTCTGCATCTGGTTACCATAGCGTCCACGGCACCACCCCTTCCTTTTCTGTAATTGGTAGTCCCCTTCTTCTTGGCTTGCCTCTACTCGGCTCAGTCTTTTTTTTTGTTCTCCCCTTCTCGTTCTTTACTCTCGCTCTTGCTCACAGTCGTACTGTTCTTCATACTCCTAGCACACCTCTCGTATCATGGTTCTACTCAGAGGTACTAGTAAACATAAGGCTAGGAAAGTGTAGATCAACTAATTTCCTTAAGCAACAAGAGCTATAAAACCACCGCAAGAAAGCACCACTTCCCATTTCCTTTTTTTCTTCATCCTCATAGTCATCTTCTTCTTCACTCCTCAACAACCCTCCACACCACTACAACCCAATCCAAACCCATCAAAAACTTCCATCAACAATGAAGCTGTTCACCGCTGTCGCTTTGACGCTTTCCATCTTTGCCGTCTCAACCACGGCTGCCCCCATTGCGTCGCCCGATGGTCTCGGTGATCTCCTTGGAGGTTTCGGAAACATCGTCCCCTTCGGTGACTTGACAGGGGCCAACGCTGCTGACACCGAGTCCCTCGCCTCCCCTTCCCTCTCCAACCCTTCCGTTGAATCCACTACTGATGCTGCCAACCCCGCCGCTTTGGCCCGTCGCGGTCTCGGTGGTCTCCTTGGAGGTCTCGGAAACGCCCTTCCCCTCGGTGGTTCGAGAGGGGCCAACGCTGCTGATACTGAGTCTCTCGCCTCTCCTTCCCTCTCCAACCCTTCTGTTGAATCCACTACTGACGCTGCCAACCCCGCCGCTTTGGCCCGTCGCGGTCTCGGTGATCTCCTTGGAGGTTTCGGAAACATCGTCCCCTTCGGTGACTTGACAGGGGCCAACGCTGCTGACACCGAGTCCCTTGCCTCTCCCTCCCTCTCCAACCCTTCTGTTGAATCCACTACTGACGCTGCCAACCCCGCCGCTTTGGCCCGTCGCGGTCTCGGTGATCTCCTTGGAGGTCTCGGAAACGCCCTTCCCCTCGGTGGTTCGAGAGGGGCCAACGCTGCTGATACTGAGTCCCTCGCCTCCCCTTCCCTCTCCAACCCTTCCGTCGAATCCACTACTGATGCTGCCAACCCCGCCGCTTTGACCCGTCGCGGTCTCATCCCCGTCGACATCAACGCGATCGTCGACGTGTTGGTCAAGGTCAACACCGAAGTAATCGTCAAGGCCATCACAGAACTCAAGGTCAACGTCTGCGCCGACATCCGCTCCAAGCTCCACCTCGTCGCCCAGGGCGTCCTCACTACCGACACCGACGTCGTCATCCCCAAGATCTCCGCCAAGGTTGATTCCGAAACCCGCGTCATCGTCAACACAAAGGTCGACCTTGACACCAAGGCCATCGTCCTCTCAAACATTGGCGAGCACGCCCGTCATGTCATCCACAAGCACTGCCCCCACGAGGACGCCATCTGTATCTCCAAGGCTGCAGGCGATATTGTTGCCGATGTTGAGGCCCTTGTCAAGTTGGATATTGACCGTCTGTTCATTGCATTGAAGACCAACTTGATGATCCATGTCCGTGCCAAGCTCCAAGTCTTGATCCGCGAGTTGGGTCTGAACTTGATTGTTGAGCAAATCCATCTCCAAGGTTTTGTTGATGCCGTCGCCGATGTGGATGTCCACCTCAACCTCTGCGCCCACGTTATCGTCAAGGGTCTTCATGTCACCGTCGTTGCCACGGCCGTCGCCGCCATAAAGTCTCTTCTTGGGTTGTAAATAACTCTTCTTTACTTTGTGAGTAGAGAAAGTCTTCTTTCATCCCCTTCCTTCTCACTGCATCTTCTCCCTCACCGTCCATGAGCATACCATTTCGTCTTATTTCACGCAGCATAGACTTCATTTTTCATGCTTTCCATCATCCATCATGGATTTCTCAACCATATTCCTTACCAATCTAGCAAATATCTAGCATCAACTAATTGACCACTTTATTATTTACAGCCTCTAATAAAGAGGACCTGTGCTGGTTCCTTTTGATCCATACATGCATACATACCCCATGGTTGTGACACGTAAAAGAAAAGAAAAAACTATTATATTTTATGTACAAGTTTGTATTTTCTTGGTGGCAAGTGGTTACAGAAGAAAACAAAGGACTAGGAGAACGGGACCCAAAAAAAAAAAAAAAAGATTACCAACCCTTCTTGAGATTGAATGGAAGTTGGCCAACAGACTTTTTCCGACTCGACTCTACCCACTTGTCATCCTCGTCTTGTAGTGCTCTGCTCAGATCCTTTGTCGTCCACCTATTCATCAACAATAGACAAAAAAAAAAAAAAAAACATCGTTCGGTTAGTGGTCTATGAAATGCAACGATGTTACTCCAATACTACAAAAGCACAGGCGCAGCCAACTTACAGGATGATATGGTTGTCGTCACTACAGGTAGCCATAAGTCCCGGCAGGTGAGCGTGCATATCCGTCCAACCACAGTGCTTCGAATGCTCCTCCCGGGTCATAATCACCTCGCCCGTCTCCAAATCCCAGAAATGAACCATTCCATTCTCAGAGCCAGCCGCAACAATCTCGTTATGAGGTCCACAGAACGAGGGGCGAATCACGAATCTGCCATTGAGGTATGTATCTGCCTCCAACGCTCGTAAGAAGGTCAGCGTCTTAAAGTTGTAGACCAGCACCTGTGCTACTCTGCAGACTTCCTCTGCGCCCTATTGTCATATGAGAGAATATGCAAGTGTCGATAATTAGTACGACCGAATGTAATAACAAAAAGCGCAAAACACCACCCCCCCAAATCGAATCGTGGACTAGAAAAAAACGTACGCGCATGGCGATGGCAAGGTACTGTCCATCTCGCGAAAGAGTCATTGCCGAGGGAGCGGTGACCATCCGATCCAAAAATCTATTTCTTGCATGCAAGTTAGTATACTGATTTGAGATGTACGATTGTTGTAGCATAGACAGGTATCCTCCTATGTGCACACAATTAAAGCAAAGAGCGTACCTGCACTCGCCAGTCTCGAGGTCGATGACCCGAATCTTGTTCTGGCTATCAGCAACGATCGCCGTGTTCTGTCCTCGTGCCATGATCATAGCCTCCACAATCACATTCGACTCCTTGCCAACCACCTCCGAGTCGATTTCCATTTCCCGGATGATCTCGCCCTTCAAGTTCTATTTAAATCAAGCACAGAAACTAGCAATGTCAGAAACACGGATTTCGCGAACAAGATATTGATATATAAGTCCATACGTAACAAGAGGAATACTTACCCAGATATATATCTCTCCATTAGAGGGCGCAGAGACAAAGTGTTGGGAGTCGTCCATCCAGCCCACAGCATGCGCATGGATATCTCTGGTTCCGTTATGGTGTTTACGCGTCAAGATAGTTTCGCCCGTTGCGACGTCGATGACGCTCATCTCCGGGGTATATGTTGGTGTGATGGGGTCGAAGCCCAGGTTGACAAGTAAGTGTTTGCTGTCGGGTGACCAGTGCGCATGTGTGATCGACCGTCCGTATCGGACCGTCTTCCAGACCGTAGGCTCCAATGACTATTGTGGGGTTGCAAGTGAGACAGATAGTGTGGTTAATACTTGTTATTTCTCGGTAGGAAAAACAGACTTTGGCAGTGCAAGGAGAATAAGAAAGAAAAGGGCAAAAGGGCCGATGTGAACTTTTTTTTTCGTGTCTACTGGATGTAGATGAAGGAACCCCATTTCCATGATAAAAGTGAGCATTGGTATCTTTCCCTCTCAAAGCAGGACGACCGACAACTGCTCCTTTTTTCTTTGCCTTGTACCACTTTCTTTTACATTTTTTTTCGACCCTGCACAAACTCACTTCCTCTTATCGATCTTCATATATGCATCTTCTTCCTTCCTTGTGTTTGTACACCAGGAATGGGAAAGGCGCCCAGATTCCATTTTAGATTTTTCTAAAACTGACGAAATCTCCTTGTTTTTTGTTTGTTTTGTTTGTTTTTGTAGTGTTTTTCCCACACTCGGGATAGACGAAGACCAGTCCAAGTCTGTGCAAGAAACGGTGAACGAAACAGGAACAGAGAGGGAAAAAAAAACTCAAGTAACAACAACCGACAAAAAGTCGAGAAGCGAATCCCCCACAGACACAAACTTCATCGATTACGCATGCGCCGGCAAAACGATGTATGGTTTCCTACCTCCGGAAGTGAGAAGAAAAATCGAAAAAGGCGATCGAGTGGTTCCCTCCTCACATTCGCTTCCATTTCCTCTCCTTCTTGCACTGTTTTTTGCCCTGCAGTGTCTTTCCTTTGCTTAAACCCTTGTTGTCCCAGACGACCACACCCCCTCCCAAAGCATAATATTCAAGCGCCGCCGCCGAAGTTTGGTCCGCAGTCTTTGCATCACTGTTGGTCTGTGGTTAGTTCCATCATTCGTTTGCTGCCTCGTCGTTACCCTGCAACCCTTCTCGCTCTCTCCCTTGTTCTTTTTGATTTCAAACCTTTTGATCTTTTTTAGATCCATTTTTCTTCTCTTCTTGTGCCTTCGAATGAACCACCAAAAGGGACGTGTTCACCAAACACAAAAGTACATAAAACATGATTCTTCTCTTTGCGTCAGCAAGCAGCAGAAGAACAAACGAGAGCATTGAGGAACACACAAAACACAAGTTTGTGAACAGTGTCATCCGGTGTTGTGTCATGTGTATAACAAATAGGGTGCTCTCTTTTTTTTTTTCTCAGGGTACAAAGAAGAAAGAAGACATCCAATCTGTCGAATAAGAACAGCACCCGTCAATTTTTGCATGACGCGGTGGTGGTGTCTGGTGTGTGATAAGAAAGGCGAGGAATGAAGAGGGTTTGAGGAACTTTGCTGTCGTTCGATGGTGTTGATGGTGTTTGTTTCCCTTTCTTCAAGTCAGCCTCTTATCCTGTACCACCAGAACAGCAATAGGAGTAGGGAGCGTGTGTTTCTTTGAGCTCACAGGGGTGCAAAAAGAGGGAAGAGAGAGAGGGGAGGAAAGGGAGAAGGAGCTGAAGGAATGAATGAATAGCAAACAAAATAAAACTATAAACCATTAAGATGAGGAATTCATCCATTGGTGTCCACCCCTGGTTTGTTTGTTTCTTGTAGCTCTTATGGTTCCTTTTGTTGACAGAAAAAAAAGGGCGTTCTCTCGATTGTCTTCCCTTATCCACTTTACTTTTGTACACCTCATTGTTTGTTTTTGTGTTTGTATGATAAAAAAAACGATCCAAGAGAATAAAAACGTACCAGGACATCCTGCCAGATGATAACGGACTGGTCTAGTCCAGAGGAGGCCATCCACTTGCCATCGGGCGAGAACTCAACAAACCAACACTCATCAAGATGGTAGCTTAACCGAAGTCTGACCTCGGACGGGATAAACTCCTTCAAGGCCGCGAGGCGGTTGGTATCGAATGCCATCTGAAGACTATTCCTGTTCTTATTTATTGACGTTGTTGGTGACGATGCATGAATGGATTGGGCTGCATAAAGTGCAGTAGGGGAGGCAAGCTTGTCGTCTGTGGTTCCTGAACTGCAGATGCTGTTGCTTCGCACACTGGAGCAGTATGTGCACGAGGGCATGGAGGATGAGAACATGCCCATATCCTGTTCAATGGTCGCCGTTCCTGTTGTCGTTCTATGTGAGACAGCGATCGAATCTTGTGTTTGTTGTTGTGACGAAGAAAGACATTCGTCGCTTTCGGGTACAGTATTGAAGAAGGGGTTATGACCAGAAGAAGAAGGTTCGCTCAAGGCTGGCGAGAGAGGAGAAAGGAACGCCTGTGAGACCCGTCTACTGTGGCTCCCATAGCTGGTGAACGATCCCGAACCTAGACTGGATAAGCTGGTGATACTCAATGGTCGACCAGAGCTGGTGGTGTGGTTGCTGTAGTAGTAGTTATCAGAGTTGTTGGTGTAGTATTTACATTGGGGGAGATGGGGGTTGTGGTGGTTGTCGTTAGAGGCGAGGGAAGATTGGCCGAGGAGTTCGGCGAGTGCTCGGTCAAGGTCCCGGTCGTCCTCGGTCTGGGTGTGATGGGGATCGGATAAGGCGAGCGAGTTTGGGTTGATCTTTGGGTATCTGGGAGATCTGGGTGCACTGTTTCCCGAGGCTGACGACGACGACAGTTTGCGAGGAGGAGGGGGTAGCGAAGGGGACATTTTGTGTTGTTTCTGCTGTTGTTGTTGTTGTCGTGTGTTGTGTTATTGGATATAGGAAAGGGTGTTGGTTACGTTCAAAGGAGGAAGAGAAGTGAGAGTCGTGTGAGTGAGTTGTTGAGGTGTGGTTGAGTTTTGAGTTGAAGAGAAGAGAAGTGATGAGAAAGTAGTGTGAGAAAGTGAATGAGTGAAGAAGGGCGGATGAGTCAAAAAAGAGACAAGAGGAGAGTGTGCGCGTCGTCTTTTATGTAAAGAATCGAGAGAGATAAGAAGGAAAGGAAAAAAGAAACAAAGAAGTAGACATCCCAGGAAGATCCCTTCCTCCACCTTTAGTCACAAGACCAACCTGTCCGATCGCCACAACATGTACCTTTCCTCAAGGCGTCCAATTCTTCCCTCCCTCGGAGACGGACTGTAAAGCTGTTGCTTGCTTTGCTCTTAGCATAGGTCATATGGCTTCTCTTGTTATTCATACTCCATCCCCACATTGGATCTACTCGTTTCCTCATGATTATTATGCACTCAGCAGACTGACGCCTTTCGACCGCGCATGTGTGCTTGTGATATGAACATGAACATGAACCTGGTGGGATGGATTCCCCGGTCCTTTGGTCTCCTTCTGACCATGTCCACTTTAAAAGTTTAAATGACAATTGTTCTCTTCTTCTTCCATTCTGGTCTACTTCCATCCAGCTCATGAGACCTTCCCTTTTTCTTCTATACAAAGTGAGTCAAGCGACAGTGCTTTCGATACCCCTTCGATTTTACCTTCTTCAATACTCTCCCCATGGTAACTTTCTTTCCCTTTCCTCCCTTGCGAGTCCCAGCAAATGGGCACCGCCCCCCCGATCAAATGACCCGGTTCCAGTACAGTTTTATAGTTCCTTTTTGGAAACATCCGCCTTCAGCCGTGCGGCCTCTGCACCCGTGCCCTCGTTAGTGATCATATCAAAAAAAATAATCGAAGATCAGTCGTCCCGACTGTTGATCACAAAAAGCGAGACAAACAAAGTCATAACCGATGGTTGGGATCAGAGATGATGGTCGGTGATGATTATTTGTGGATGATGTGGATGGGCGTGCAAGTGATACGGATATCATATGTGCGTGTGCATTGACAATGGATACAGGGGGGAGGGGCTCACTCTTATCCATCGTCAATCCTACTTATCTCTCGTGTACTGTTTTCATGCGCCATCATGTTCTTTCTTTATCTCTCATGGGTCCAATCCATCCCGCCATTTTCATGCCCCTCTTTCACAATCTACTCGTCTGTCATCTCATATTCAATCCATCTCATGTCACAAACCCAAACCATGGATGGGTAACAAACAGGAACGGGTGATGACGGCATTAGCCGGTCTTGTCGTTCCGTTTCTGAGCTGTTTTTTCTTGTTTCCAAAGTAGATATAAGCAAAAAAAAAAAAAGCACTATGACGATGATGAGGAGCTCTTGGGTGCTTTAGAAAATTGGACCACCTCGCCACTCTCTGGCTCTGGCCGACAAAAAAGGTATTCAAACTTCAGGAGAAATAGATACCTGGAACCGGGACCTATGACAAGACGCCACCCTTTGTCGTAGAAAGCGTATTGGGCGGAGCAGCAGAATACTCAATTGCATAAACAATGTTTCTGCCACCCCCCTCTTCTCATTCCTTCATATTTTACCGCCTTTCCAAGTGTGGTGTTTGACGATGGTCCAAGCACCCGGGGAAGAGAATGCCACAAGATGACCATTGGGCTGCATAGAGACATGGGGCGGGAGGGAGGGCATATGAGAAATGTTTTTTTTTGATTGTCCAATACATATTGGACAAGTAAAAAGGGTTCATTTCTGTACGACATTACCTTTTCCTTCTTTCCTCTTTGTCGCTTTCTTCGTAGTTCTTTGCAAGGGGTCAATTCGTTCAGGGTCCATCTACTTTGTCGTCTCACCATCTCCATCTATCCTTCCATATCGCAAGCAAACTTTCCCCGCGGACCTAGACTTGTCAGAGTAAATCCATCAAGATACATATTTGGAGAGAGGTCTGGTGCTTTGTTCAATGTGCAACACACCATGATCGAAATGGTGAGCGATGGACGTGTTGGAATAACACCATCCGATCGATCTCCATCAAGAACCCAGACTGGTGAGTGCTGTACACAATGACAACTACCGCAGTTCAGCCCCACCATAGCCCAGTTGACATTTTTTTTTTTTTTTTTTTTTTTTTGCATGAATGATATTATCATCATACGACCACAACCCAAAACCAAAGAGCCAAGCAAAAGAAAATGAAAAAGAACAAAAGAGGTCATCCCTCCATTTTTAGGAGCCCGGCCCCATTGCTGACCCTTCATCTAATCTTGGAGACAAAGGCATGACGACTGTATTGAGGAAAAAAAGTATTCTCCGCTGCATATGATTGATACATACTCAGTCGATTCGTATGAACCGATCTGACAAAGACTTTCTGGTGCAGTGTCTGTGTGACCCACACTGCACTTACTCACCGTCTTTGTTTTTTTTTTTTTTTTTAGATCCCGGTCTCCACAATGCCACCCCTTCCACCCCTTCCACCACTACAAAACTCCAAAATACGGCCTGGCCTCCTCGGAATACCCATGCATGACACCGTTCAATTGCCGACAGTACACAACATTACACTTTTGTCGATCACTCCATACACCACCACCACCACCACCACAACTCCTCGGACAGTACATCTCTACAATGCAAAGAACGATGTCGCTTTTAATGAAAGAAAACAAATCATAAACAAAACATAAACGAAAAAGAATAAACTAGTTCGTTATCTAAACGGGGTCAACGACGGTATGATAGCGCGTCTCGTCATATCCTGGTGGCGTATCCAATGATCCCGTTCCAGCCCTTGACCGTGTCGTCGTTGTCGTCATGGGTCTAGACCTTGGATCAGAGTTCTGGCGCTCTCGTGTATCGTAACGCTGGCGATACGCTCTGAACAACGCATCCTCCTCCTCATCTGCCGCAATTGCCACAGGTCCGCCCATATCCATCGCCGTGTATGTAGTGTTTGTCACGACAGCAGCAGACTCGTCCCGGACATAATCAGGCGGGCTGTCCAGTATCGTCGCTCCAACAGTAACCCCAGGATAGGGTGAGTTCAACGAGATCGAAGACGAAGCCGATGACGAATGAGCGGGCGATCCTAGCGATCCTGTCCTCCTATGCAGCTGGCTATGTGGTGTTGATTGCTGGTGCTGGAAATATGACGGGAGTTCCTCGGTATCCAACAGCAGCTCCTGAGAATGGTATCCTCCATGTGAGCTCCCCTCAGATGAATATGCGTCCATGTTGCCTTCCACATGGTGCCGATGCATCACCAACCGCCCACTCGACAACGTCGTCGTAGCTCCAGGTGAGGACGAAAGTACTCCTGCCCCTGCACCAGAACCATCGACAATACTGCTCTCGCCTGCTATTGATCCTGACCCACCGGCAAGACTCTCGCCAATACTCCGGTAGTGTGCCTGCAACTCCACCGAAAAGATCCGACACCGCTCCGAGAACAACTTTTCTATACACTGGTTCTTCTTCTTCTTGAGCAGCCGACTCTTCTTGTGCAGGACCTCCAGTGTATGTGAGAGTGAGTTGTAGGCATCCTTGAATTTCGCCGTGTAGATGATCAACTCGTTCGAGGTGTCGTTCGCAGTGTCCATCTTGATATCTGACAACATTCCAATGTCTTCCAGAGTCGGGACCAGTCCTCGCGCCGTCACCATATGTGCATCCGCCACCTTTGTATACGATGGTGGTTCTAGTTTCCATATTGAATGAGATTCAAAGAGATAAGGTCAGAAAGATATCCAACAGTAAAAAAAAGTATGTGCCGTGAACACACAAACCAATGCTTAAGACAAAAGATTAACAGATAAGACGTACTGGGGCCAGAGAAGAAGGGGACGAGCTTCTTCAGAGGTTTAGAAGCATCCTTGGGGTTGGTCGCAATCTGCTTCTCGATCGAGTCATTCCAGATATCCACGTAGCGTCGGATCTCCTTGAACTCGTTCTTTGCTGCCCTGTGCCTCTCGAAGTCCGCCTTCACCTATATCATATTGGAAAAATTGAGTTAGCTGAGTGCTCCGCATATGAAAACTTTGTCCTGTCCTGCAAGTAAGTTGAGCTGTTGCTTGTGATTCTGTAAAGAGTTGTGATGGTGCCGTTGTGAGCAGTGCTGTATGAGTGTGTTTGTACCTTGGTAATATCGGCGGTGAACTGCTCCAGTTCCCGTTCCAAGGCATCCTCGCTTGGGTGCTCTATTATCACACAAACACAAGTAACACACAGGTTAGTTTGTTTCCACGACCTCCATTTGTTATTCGTTCTTCAAAGTTCTTTCCAACTTCACTCGCGTCGCAATGATAGAAACAAAATGAAGAAGAACTCCTACCGGGAGTGGATCCGGAAAAGATCTGCGTGATGATTGGGTGAAGGCGAGGGTCAAGAAAGTCGACCAGGTATGAGCAAGGTGAGTGGGTTAGCAGGGACACAGGGAGAAATACAACATAAACGGAAACAAATGAGAGCACCCTCTCTTCTGTCAACGCCTTGCTGGTACAGCTGCGCGACAATGGTTCGAGTCGTGTGAACTAATCGACACCAACAACCACCACTTCGCGTGAGTAGATTATTACCTCTTCGAGGAGTGTCTGGAGCTCGCCTCTGCTTTCAAAGTACTGTGCGACCTGTCGGGTAAGACCAATATGCTAAGAGAGGTTGATTGTAAACAATTGTATAGGGGTTAGTGCCATGACATGATTCAAATGGGCCAAAGGGCTGCTGATACAATAATGAGAGAGAATGAAGGGGCATGAGGTGGGGTGAGGCGTGTGCGTGAGGCCCTTTTTTCCGCGCTAAAAAAAGGACAGCGAGCGCAGGGATCGATAGTGTCGTCGATTTTCATTCATTCCTTCCTCCAGGTAAATGTAAACGGATAAGGATATGTCCCCGAAGATGACTTCTTCAGTCCAAAGAGAACAAGTTCACCCCTCTTCCGGCAAAACGGAGTGCCCGTTTGTACCGATGCAATTACATCTCTCTCATTTACAACAAGAAAACAACGCATAAGTAACACCATCTCTATCTGTTTCCCTGAAGTGCCCGCTAATGACAAGACGAGAAGAGGAAGAACGAGATGCCATTTGCCCATCGAATAAGAAGCACATTTCCAATGTAGAGTCGAGGGGTTGGCATCCGATTGGCTGCTCTTTTTTTCTTTCTCTCTCCCTCCCCCTCATTTTCCATTGCCGACTTCCTCGCTACAGTGCAGCACATCATCCCTCCCCTTTGGTTTTGCACTCCCGCCCCCCGATTGGTAAGGCTGTCATGTGCAGGGAAACACAAATCTCAGTTTCAATCGGTCGATCGTGTCCTCCGCAACGATAAAGGAAAAACGCGCCATCGGTCCTTCTTTACTCATCCCCCATGAACCCTGGGTATTCGTGTCCAGGGGAGTGAAGGGAGGGGAAGAGAAGAAGAAAGAGGAAGAGCGGCCAACGACTGTCGTTGTTGTTTTGGTGTCGCTTTGTTGTGGGTGTGTTTGTTGCTGCAGGAATTGTTGTTGATGAGTGGAGAGAGAGAGAGTGGGATATTGAGGCAGGATAATAATGGCGTGTGCTCATTCTCGCCTCGTGTGAACATCGAGCATGGACCCCTTGCCTGCTCCACTCAGTGACCCTCCAATCCTCATACCCCACCTCTTCCGAACAGAGAGGCAGAGAAATGTAAATTGGTAATCTCCTTCATGTGGGGTTGCTTGGTTGTTTCCTCTCCTCCTAATCATCCAGTATCCCGCGCAATGTGTGCATTGTTTCGTACGCATGCGCACAACACAATCTCCAAACAAAAAGAGGAAAAAAGGGAGAGGGCAGAGCCACTATCATGAAAAAGATCACAACACGATCGAAGAAGAGGAAGACTAAGGAGAACAAACAATCTCTAATCCTCTATTTTCTATGCATCTCTCTTTCCTCGTTATGTCTCTTTATCTTTAGCCGTTCTTCGTGCAATCTCTCCTAAATTTATTTTCCCCCGTAGCCATCCCATCCATTCGAGGCAGATTAAACAACTAAAGCTCAGCGCCATGGCAAGGCATGTCATGATCTGACATGACCTGGCATGGCACACAATACCACATCGGGGCAAGACACCCAAGGATCGGAATAATCAAAAGAGATAGAAAAGAAAAAGAGGTGGTCCAATAAACAAGAACAAGCAAAGAAACAAAAACTTTGCAATCTTATCAAAATCGGCATCTCGTCTTCTTGTGTTTTCTATAACCCCATTCTTCTTGTCGACTCTTCTTCTTCCATCCATCGGATAAATATCTTGTTGTTTTGTTCTTTGTACCTGAACGATCGCAGCTGTATGTGTTTCCAGTTGCCCTTTTCTTCTTGACATTTTTACCATCTCCTTCCCTTCCCACTCCCTCATGCCAATGCGCATCTCTGATGGGGACAGATGAAATAAACCGATTAAACGTGCCAAGAATCAACTGAAGAAAAACTCTCCGCGGAAATCACTCAGTCGAAAAAAAAAGAGAAAGATCGACGGCGGAGGATTGTAATAGATTATAGTATATGGTGCTTACCAAGATCTTGGCGGCAAGCAATTGGCCGTTGAGAGCTTCAAGGGCCTCCTTGGTGGCCTGGTGCTGGGCAGCGACGATACCAGCTTCTGATGGATGGTCACCCTCGGACGATGACGACGACACGGACGCATGGTTGTGAAGACTGACATGGCTACCCTGCCCTGACGTCTGTGGTCTCTTTGAGATTGATTTACTGTCAACAAAGAAAACAAGAGTAATTATAGAAAGAGAGAGGAATTAGAAAGGGGATACGTGAGTGTGGCAGGAGATTGGGCATTGGGCACTGGGCATGCAACGGGCAAGCATGGCCCGATGGGAAAAAACAACCAACTGGTACAAAAAAAAAAAAAAAAAAGTGAGAGAGTGCGTGATATCATCTTGACTGAATAAGTCTGAACCTTTCGTCCCCTTCTCTCGACTTCGACCTCATAAACAATTAACAGTCAATTGGCACGATGATGTTGTTTGCGATCGCCTGCAGCAGCATCGTGCCATCCCTGAACAACTGAACAAAAAAGGAATGGATAGGAACAGATACAAAAGGAAGCAACAGTAAACAAAAGGTGGGTGTCCATCTGACAACCAGGAGCCATCTTCCCTCAATCTCCATCTATCTATCCTTGCCCTGAATACTCTTCGCCGAAGAGTATTCGGTCAGTCAGTCCTCTCGCTCACTCGCTCTCTTCTTTTATCAATCTAGTCATGCACTGAATACTCTTCGTGCCTCCCAAATGCAGATTCAATCAATCAATCCTCCCTTCCTTACAGCTTGTCCTGACAGGCCTGGAGGTGGGCAGTTTTCTTCTTAATATCAGACTCAATTCGCTCGATCGTCAGGTTGTGTCTGTCGAGCTGTGTCTTTAAAGGGCTGAAGTGCGCAATGTTTTGTGTCAACGCAGTGAATCGATGTTCTGCTGCTCGGATGCGATCCGAACACGAGAGCACTGTTGTCGTTGTAATATTTGTCGTATGCATTGTTGAGTGTGAATGGGTGTGTTCAAGGGTTCTTGGTGTCCCTAGTGTAGGTGCTGAGGCGGCAGTAGTAGTGGTTTGAGTGGAAGAGGTTGCGAGGTTGGTCGAGGTGTTTGAACGTGAGGTTGAGGAAGGGGAGACGGGTGTTGAGGAGAGTTGGTGGTGGAGGTGTGAAGTTGGTGTTGCCAGCGAAGTTGTTTGCGTCGTCATTTTCCTTCTTTTCTGTTTTTAAGTGAAGGAAAGAGAGAGAGAGAGAGGAAAGGGATGAAGCAAGAAGAGTGTGTGAGAGGGCGGGAAAGAGTAAAGGAAGAGTGTGATGATAAACAGAAAGAGAGAGGAAGAGGAAGAAAGAAGGAAGTGAAGAAGGTGCAAAGGTATGAAGGAGACGAGAAGAGAAAGTAGAAGGAAGTAAGGGACAGGAAAGAACAAAAAAAGAAGAGCAATTGAACGGCGGAGTGTCAGGCAGAGAGGGCAACTTTGACAGACACACGGTAAGTTCAAGAAAAAGGGCACACACGCGAGTTGATTGAGTGCGGAGAAGGAAGAGAGGGAAGGAAGGAAGGAAGGAAGGAATGAGTGAGTGAAAGAATGAATGAATGCGATGACGGAGGGTGTTGCTGTTGTTGTTGTTGGAGGGTGTGATGAGAGTGAAGGAAAAGAAGAAAAAGGAGATAGTGGAGGAGAAAAGGAACAGAAACAACAGACAGGGGCAAAAGAGATAAAGGTCCGATTACGACTTGACTCCACTCCAGCATCGTTTGCCCCGGTCGTGCTTCCTCATTGGCCCGCCCGAGTCGAATCGAAAAGAGGGTGCAGTGAGTGAGTGTTGTATGGGTAGAATTAGGAGAGGTAGAGGGCATGAAATGCTATAGAACAGCCAGCCAACAAAGACATCCAAACAGGCCAAAGGGCCTTTTTTTTTTTTTTTTTTTTTTTTTTTGCCAAGCTTGGCAGCGCATTATTCGATGGTAATAATTACATCCATTAGTCAAACGCACTCACCCATGGATGCACGCCTACGAGGAGTAAAACCCCCATCGACTCGCAATGAGACAACCATTCATGTTCTATGAAAAAATGTGGATACTCAGTAGAGATACACGAAAATATGCTGAACGAAAAAAACGGCGTCTTTTAATGGTTAAAAAAAAACTATGTATATGAAAACCTTCGATTATTTTTTTAAACAAGGCCTGCCTTCTCCATGGCGGCGCGCATAAGAACTCCCAGCTTGGCAGGCGACTGCGAGACAATAACTCCGGCACCCTCCAGGGCTTTGATCTTGTCATCTGCGCCTCCCTTGCCTCCAGCAATAATAGCTCCAGCATGGCCCATACGGCGGCCAGGAGGGGCCGTACGGCCTGCAATAAACGACACAACAGGCTTGGGTTGCTCACGCGTCAAGTTGTACTGCTTCAAAAACTCGGCCGCCTCCTCCTCTGCACTGCCTCCAATCTCTCCAATCATAATAATACCCTCCGTGTTGGGGTCGTCCAAGAACAGCGTCAAGCAGTCGATAAAGTTGGTTCCGTTGAAGGGATCGCCACCAATACCAATGCAAAGAGACTGACCAAGGCCGACCTGGGTCGTCTGGTTCACAGCCTCATATGTAAGCGTGCCCGATCGCGACACGATACCTATTAGTCCGATGGATAATAATAATAATATGCTCATTCGTTAAGAGGTAGTCCAATGGTCGTCACAATGTATGCCTTGTTTTAAAGACTTTACACGGAACACGTTCTAGAGTCCATTAGTTTCATGGCTCCCCATGGCGCCTGGTGTATCCTCACTTGAAGGCCACATAAAATACATACCGATCTTTCCAACCTTGTGAATGTGGCCGGGCATAATGCCGATCTTGCAGGCATTGGGCGCAATAATACCGGGGCAGTTGGGTCCAATCAAGCGAGTCTTATCCTGAGTCTTCATAGCACGGACAACCTACATTGCAAGAGCCATCATCGTTTTGAACGCAAAATATGAAAACGCGTGAGTGACATCTATCGACTTGCACATAGAAAAAAAAACTACGCAAGAAACGACATGAGTACGTACGCGAACCATGTCCTGCTGAGGAATTCCCTCAGTGATGGCAACAACCAAGGGGATCTCGGCCTCAATGGCATCCAAGATAGCACCAGCAGCCATGGGAGGGGGGACATAGATGACCGTGGCATCGGGTTTGACCTCACGGGCAGCATCAGCGATGGTGTTGAAGACGGGGAGACCCAAGTGGGTTTGACCACCCTTCTTAGGAGAGACACCTCCGACCATGTTGGTGCCGTACTCAATCGCCTGCTTTGAGTGGAAAGTACCCTATTTGTCATTGAACGTGCATGTTAAGGTGTGGTAACCATCTGTGAGTTCAACTGAAGAGAGGATCGTCCATGCGATAGCCGGCTGCTCCGTTTATGTTTTGTCCGCGATCCGGTGCACAAACTAACACAATAGTTGCCGATGGTCATATCATGTCTTTTCCATGCTGCTGCTGTGATTTGCTGTCGGGCCTGTTGTTCCCGTCATCTGTCACCATATGAAATTTTCGGGCACTCAAATTGGTGTAGGGCAGAGGGAGGGGAGGGCAAAGAGAGAGAGAGACAGAAAACCGACGGGCGAGCAAGCGGGAGCGATTTAACAACGTGGTGGGACACCATGGCTCTCACACGTCCATTCTTCTTTTTTTTTGGGGGATAACGGAAGAAAGAGAGACTGTGGGAAGTCCAATTCCTTGTCCAATACTCGATAGAGTATGCTTATTGAATATAATTGTGGTGTACAGTTGACCGTAACATCCTGTCCTTGTGTCCTGATGCTCCATGGTTGTCCAGCAACGCTTTCTCTCGCCGTGCTTGACGACTTCAATAGATTCGAGTGTCCCTTATCTAAATGTGTTGATATATCGTCTCTCCTTCGGCATTTGTCCTCATGCTTCCATGCCTCTTTTTTCTCCTCTCTTCACTCAAACTAGCATGCTGATGTCGAGCTGTCTTTTGTCCTCCTTGTTTTCCTTCCTGCGCTCTGTATTTTTTTTGGTGCTCATCCGTCACAGATCCAATAAGGCCATGGAGCAGTTCATACTCTCTATTTCTTTGCTCATTCTTTATCCTATGTGCCTGCTAGCTTACCTGCTTGCCGGTGAATCCCTGGCAGACGACCTTGGTGTTCTTGTTGATCAACATGTTCTTGATGGTTTTGTCGTAGCCAGTACCCTTAGGGATAGTGCTGAACATGCGCTGAGCGACTATTTTGTTTTATTTGAATACAAGCACAAAACCATTCATCCAAACATGCAAAAAGGAGACAGAGCACCAGGTTAGTTTGACGCTCGGGGACAAGAAAAAAAACAGCAGAAAAGACAAAGAACGGTTCACGCGGGCGGGTTGGTGGCCGAAGAGTAACTCTTTTCATGAGCGTGGGTAAAGTCACGAAGCAACTGAGTGGTTCGAGAGAAGTAAGGGAGAAAAAGGGGGGGGTGGGGTTCGAGAAAAGGAAAAAAAAAGGCTTGCGACAGAAGGTAACAGTTTTTCGTCGCTGGATCTGTATGTCATGGAGATAGAAAAAAGCAACCCGGAAGCATTTCCTTTCAGACAGAGTGATTGATGGGTGAGCAAAGGAAAAAGTCTTGGGGTAAAAAAAAACCAGCGAAGAGGGAAGACGGGATCTCAAAGGCAATATAATTATCCTTGGACGTGTTGTTGGAACGAGAGTGATACGTCGTGAGTGATATTCCCTTGCCTGCCAGGAACGAGTTCGTGGTTTGTGTTTCCTTCAGACGACGAAGGAATTGACATTGGTGTTGCTGTATTGTTATTTGTGTGTTTGAGTCGACGAAGAAGTAGCCCGAGAGGGGTAATGTAGTTTACCCCAGACTCGTTGGTTGTTTGGGTGTGAAGACAAGTGAGTGCGGGGATCTTTCTTCCAAAGGGAACGAACGAGCCACGTCGAGATGACACCCGACCTTGGTGTTCTCTTCCTGCGGTTTCCTGGTTGTTGTTGTTGTTGTCGTTGATGTTGTTGCCGTGTGTCCCGTGTGTATAACAAACAACAACAAAAAGAAAGCAGACTTGCCTTTGGTGGCTCTGAATGAGGCGTGCATGGTTGTTGGTTGAGGGAGTTGAGTGGAGAGAAGAGAATAAAGTGATTGTGAGAAGAAAGAGAAAAAAAGGCAAAGACGTTCTCCCGCCGTGAGGAAAGTAAAATGATTTTTTACGTACACGGTTCACTTTCCACTTCGTCAGAAATTGTACCTGAAGCTGAAGCTGAAGGAAGCGCCACCCTCGGGTTAATCCTCTTTCTCTTATTTCCTTCTTTCCCAACTGCGATTCACTCCTCTTTCTCCATCTCTCTCTCTCTCTCTCTCTCTCTCTCACTCATACCCAAACAACAACAATGTCTGCACTCATCCCAACAGTCTCACTCAGGAACACACTCCCATTCATCTTTTCCCTCGCTGCAGCAACTACTATCACAACAAGAGCTTACTCAACGGGCCTCCGCCCTCGTGGTCCAGGACCCATCCCCCTCGAGTCAGCCAAGGACCAGGCAGAGTTTGAACAGCTCGTCAAGAACGCCGCCTCCACACCCGCCACTAGCCATCCCGACGCACAGACCCCCGTCCCTGATGAGTTCCAAGGCGACACAAACCCCACCACCGGTGAAGTCGGAGGTCCCAAGCGTGAACCCGTCCGCTTTGGCGACTGGTCCTTCAAAGGTCGTGTCACCGATTTTTAACTCTACCGATCAACAATATTTTGTAAATACACCCCAGTGTTAATGTCTCTTTTCATATAACTTTTCATATCACTTTTCATATCATGTCAATGGTACGTTTTATTCGGAATGATGAAGAGGTAGCAAGGGTGATTTTAATATGAAAATATGAGATTGTGTGGTTATAACTACAAGCAAGTATACAAAAAAGGTGATAAGCAATAAGAATGGTACATGGGTGGAGGGATAATACTAATAGCAAATAGCAAATAATAGTGTGTAGAAGAACAAAAGTAAATGAAACAGAAAACTGAATAGACAAAGGAAAACAACAGTAAAGTGAAAAGATGAGAAAAGAAAGAAAAAGAAAAAGAAAAGAAAAGAAACGAAAAGAAAAGAAAAGAAAAGAAAAGAAAGAGGAGAAAAGGAGTGAGTACTTAAAAAAAGAAAAAAAGAAAAAAAGAAAAAAAATCGATTAGGAGGATGAGTATCCAGAGCTGAAGCTGCCGGTGTCCACTGAAAGTTGAGGAGTTGAAGGCTCGCTGGCGCTGTTTTGACAGATCGACAGCTGTAGAAGTCTCCGCGATCTCTCTTCAGCATCAAGGTTCCCCATCAATTGGAACTTGTCGAAACGCCTATGAAGGCATCTCAAGCTGCGCTCACCCTTGTGGAGCCAGTAAACGCCAACCGTCAGCTCGCGTTTTTTCTCACCCCAGCATAGTCCATCAAACACCTCGCACTTGTGAAGACTGGCGAAATCGCCCTGCTCAGCTACATCTACATCACAGTCATAGACTGCTGTGACAGGGCGTTTTGTCGGACAATTGCAGGGTCCCAATTCGGCGACCTTCTCTTGAAAAAGCTCCTCCGCCGTGAGCGTCACTTCTTCATCAAACTCCTCCAGGACATCCAACTTTTCTTCAGGTTCATGCTCCTCCTCGCTTCCGTAAAGACTGCTTCCACTGCCTCCAGTTGCGATCACGATGTTGTGTCGCGCGTCTTTACCCTCGCTCTGAAAACGCGGTCGCTCCTCCTGCTCCTTTTCGGGAGCATTCCGGCGTCCGAGAATAGCCGCATAAATGGCCTGAATCTCATCGGGTTGAGCTGGGCGAGTAACAACTGTCGATGTCGATGTCGATGTTGAGGCGCGTCCCTTCTTCTTGTCCTCAGGTACCTAACAACAATTAGAGGAAAATTAATTTCTGGAAAACTATTTCATGCACGAACTCCAGTATTTCATGCAGGCTTATGCAACAACCAAAGTATCTGGTCCTTACAGAGCTGACCTGTGCCGGCCGCGATTGTGCTTGTGCTGATGATGCCGATGACGATGCAGATACAGACGTAGATGCCGATGTTGATGCGCGACTGAAGGCGGGGCCAATGGAAAAGTTGGGCTGGGCGGGTACTGTCAATTTGTGCGACTCGGGCACTTCCAATCGCATCGGCCAGAGAGTCGTGCGTCCAAAAGTTGTCGTCGGGCTGGGGACTTCCAGCAGGTCTGCTGGGATAGGGTATTTGATGCCTCGGCTATAGGTCGTAGAAAGGGCTCTAGGTTAGTATAACGGTTAATTGTAAAGGTATCTTTCTACCATTCTATCAAGCAAAAATGTTGATGCAAGTCAAACGTAACGAGCCATACCCAACGATGCCGAGTTTGTGTCTGGAGGCGATGCGTTGACGCTCTCGTTCTTGCGCGATAAGCCAGTCCTTCTCTGGGTCGGGTATATGTTCGAATGGGTTGATGGAGCTCTCCTGACTGTACATAGGCGAGGCGTCCTCATTGTCGCTGCTGTCGTACAATGCCGTGTACATTGTATCGTCTTGTCCGACATGGTGGTCGCTGTCGTCTTCGTCGGTGTAATCACCGTCCTCCTGGGTGCTCGCTGGTTGGTGTTGGTGTTGGACCATGGTAGCTGATTCGGCGATGTAACCTCGATGGATTATGTGTTGATGAGAAAGGTCGCGGTAGTCATAGTCGCTGTGCTCCGAATTCTGCGAAAAGGGCGAATGTGGTATGGGTGAGGTTGCTGGAGGTGTTCGAGGGCTGTCATGTTGCTCATGTCCGACGTGACTGTCGTGATGTTGTTCATCAGACTCGGCTCTTGACTCGTCTTCATGCCTAGAGGGGTTAACATACCGAAAGGTCAGCAACACATAGCTGTATGTCCATTAAATGCGCTCGTGTGTTATTAAATGCGCTCGTGTGTTTGAAAAATGGTTTGCATGTTTGATACATACTGTTCGTATTGGTCCTCCTCGTAGTAGTCGTCGTCTTCCTGCTCTTGTGCCTGTGCTTGTGCGTTGTAGTCTCTTCCATCGTCAGGCCAGAGACAGCGAGGCTTTGTGTTGATAAGCTCTTCTTCGTCACTGATGAGTTGCATCAAGCAAGAGTGAGACAGCGAGAGAGAGGACACGGTGATGTGCCCGTTAGTCAGTGAGGTGACCATCTTTTATTTGATAGACACGCAAAGAATCAGGAAAACAAGAAAAACACGCACGCGTATTATTCTTACCTGGCGTATTCTCTCTCGACTTCGACCTGCTTGCCTCGGAAGATGAAGGAGAACGTCCGTGTTGTAGGCATGGTGCTTAATGGTGCGTGTGTATAAGCTTAGTCCATGAGTTGGGATGGAATAAAAGTAGGAATAAAAGAATGATGTTTGTTATTTTTGTGTTTGTTTGCTTGAAAAGTAAGAGCGAGTGGAGGGGCGTGTCCAAAAGAAGTAGGGCGCATTTCAATTGAATCTCCCCTCCCCTCGCCCCTCATTTTTTTCCAGTTGCATATCAGAAGAGATAAATAATCGCAGATGCTGTCTTTGTAACACGCATAAAGCGAAAACATTGTCCTAATTTTTTTTTCTTTTTCCTTCAACCACGCACAATGAAGTCCTTTGCAAGCCATTGAGCTCTCCAACGGTCGCGCTTCGGCAGCAGCCCGCGGTTTAGCTACCGCTTTTCGTGAAGATAAATGCAATACTCGTGCAAGACAGACCCGCAATGTTCGAGTGTACCATACAAATGTCGGCGAGAACTCAAACCATATCGTCTCGTCCGTCGCTGGCCACTCGCTTGCCATATCTCTTTTATTCTTTTATTGACTACTACTATTCAACTATTCACAACCGCAAATGAGATTCAGCAAGGAAGCTGCATCTAGATCTTGCTGGGTTCAAAAAAAACAACAACAAGCTGGGAGTTTACTTGTTAGCCTTGGCGGCTGCAGCCTTCTCGGCCTCCTCTCTCTGCTTCTTGGCAGCGGCGGCCTTCTCTGCCTCCTATTGTGTTTAGAGAATGGAGTCAGTCCTCTGTGTTCTGCATTCAAGTGAAGGAGATGATGTTGATCGAATGAGGTGTATGGTTTATTTACCCTTTGGCGGATGTAAGCGTCCTCGGCAGCCTTTTCGCGGTTTCCAAGGGGGTTTGTATTCATGATGGTGCTGTGGTGTTGTCGGGTGGGAACGTGTGTGTGTTTGGGGAATAAACAGGAGGCTGTTGGCAAGCCTGGGCCGCGCTTTTATTTCGTTTTGCGAGAAATTTACTTTGTCAAGCAGCTGGTATGATGACGTTATGAGCTTTGCCGATGATGATGACCCCTTTTGATGGGAGAAAAGGTATTGGAGTGAATACTTTATTCTTCCATTTGTTTCTAGAGACAGAGGCTGAGCCAACGGTCCAACAGTCCAAGAGTCCAACTCTGTCTGATCGAAGTTAACTCGACTCGATAATGCCTGGGCTGCGAGGCATGCGCTTCCGGGTACTCATGAGGCCATATGCAGCAGGGGAAGTTTGTGTAGACAAGGGATGGTGTTTGTATTATGATGGTGACGATCAAAGGAAGAGCAGAAAAGAGGAACAGAGGTGCAGGTGGATGCAATACCAAGGCCACAAAGTACTGATGATGATCGTCCTTGTCGAGCAGATCAACACATGGGCCTGAAACTTTATTTTATCATATTTGCGCTGTGTCAAGCTTCTTGTTAAACCCAAGTTGCTTCTGGTTAGACCATCATTCACAAAAGACGAGAACCGTCCCGTCAATGTTGACAGGCATCTGTCCGTTGTGATGTGCCGAGGTCAATTCACCAGTGGTATGGCTACAACACTGCAGTGTCAGTTGTGTGCCACCAATATCTGATCCATCGATCTATCGAGTGAGATTGAAGGGAAGCCAATAATGATTCTTCTTAACTTGTAGTTATGAGGCGACTAATATTAGTCTCAGTCTCTTTGGATACTTCTTTTTATTCTATTTCTTCTTTGAAAGGCTTTTCCCTTTTCTCTTTCCTCCCCTCTTTTTGTCTCTCCTCTCGCCTCTCCTTGTCTTCTCACACTTTACCTTCCTTCCTTCCTTCCTTCCTTCCTTCCTTCCTTCCTTCCTTCCCTCTCTCTCATTCCTCTCTCATTCTTCTCTTCTCTTCTCTTCCCCTCGACTCATTTCCTCTCCCTCTCTCTCATTCCTTCTCACTCCCCCCTCAGCCGTTCCTCCTTCCTACCTCGAGCCTTGGTGCTCTCTCCACACTGCTCAAAAACCCTGCCTTTATATTTTATTTTTTCCCTTCACACTTTTCCACGCCTGCTCTCGTTTTTCGTTTCTGTTAACCGTGCTCCTTCTTGGCCCTTTTCTCATACCGACTACCCCCAGCCAAGAATGATTAAAAACATTGGCAAGTTCAAGCAGGTACGACACACACATAGAACAACAACAACAGCAACAACAAAAAACTTTCTCATTTGCTGGAGCATGAACCCAACTAAGGATATTTTATTCATCACGACAAATAGTGGACAGGCGAAAAGATTGGCAAGGCTCAAAAGACTCGGATGGACGAGGACTTTAATGGACTCCAAACCGAGACCGAGGCCCAGCGAGTCTCCCTCGACAAACTACATGAATCCTCCCATGCATACCTCAAGGCCATGAGTAAGTTCAACCAGCCTAGCTTGACTTGGGGATGAACCCAAACACAGACAACAAGAGACATCGGGAACCAAGAATAGATCCCCTCTCTCCTTTCCCACTGTCTCCCCTTGCAACTTCACTTATTTGTCCGGCGTTGTCTTGGGTTCCCATCCTGTGAAGGGCTGAACTACCCCCCCTCTCTCTCTCCTTCCCAACAGCAACAACAGCAATCCAACGGGGCCGAATGAACAGCCCGCACCTTTCAACCTTGAGCATTGTATGAATGGATGAAGAAGAAAAAAAAGTTAACCAATTGTTCTTCGTTTATAGGTAAACGAGTCGAAGGTGATGACAAGTCCAAACGACTGGCGATCGAGACATTTGGTATCAGCATGTCCGACCAGAGTTATACCCTTCCTGAAGGTTTATCCTACAGAGAAGCCCTTCACCAAATGGGCGATGCTCACCAGAGTATTGGTGCTGCACAAGGCGAATTGGTAAGACCCAATTTCTCTCAATGCGCCCTTCTTTGTCACACCCGACACGGGCAACCATGCTATTCCTGACAAGGAAAGGGTCTGGACGCTTTTGTTTGTGCTTCTGTTTTGTGATCACCTTTGTGATCATCTTTGTGGTGATGTTGAGGTATCAGTCTTTCAAGGATACGATGTAAAAAAAGAAAACGTCTTTTGCTGGCGGACAGGCGGACAGTCAACTCTATCAGCAACAAGGAGACATTTTCATGCATGCCAGGACAAGAACGCATGATGGGCCACAATGCAAACTGGCTGACATGCTTTTCGTTTTGTCTTTTTTTTTTATTTTTTATTGTCGCCATATTCGTTTCTGGCGGTCAGATTATTCGATTGGGCAGCTCATATATTGAATGTCTGGAGAGGGCTCAGGCTCAGATGAAGGAGTACCAGGTATGTTTCCTTTGTTCTCTTTTTGTTTTACCGCACAATAGAGAATCGGATAAAGTCCTGTCGATCCCATCCCTGTCCCTGCTGTTCTTTTGTTATCATTATTGTTACTGTTATTGTTGACTTGTGCAATTGTCCACTTCCTTCCTAACAATTTTGCTATCATCATGATTTCGGTGATGTTAATATATTGGGTTCAATAGGCCATGCAAAAAAAGCTGCATTCCAGGCGCCTCGACTATGATGCCAAACTGGCCAAGGTTCAAAAGGCCAAGAAGGAAAAGCCCGAGTGGGAGGAGGAGATGCAGGCCGCCAAGGCAAAATATGAAGAGACGCGTGAATGCGTTCTCGGAATAATGTCCGCGATTAGTGAATCTCAGGTAAGGCAGGAAGGGAATAGAAAAATGCAATAGAAAAAAAAAAAAAAAAGCCATTGAGATTGCAAGCGAACCAATCGACGAATGGACGGGGATCTAATAATGAAGGGAGCACCCTCTCTAACCTGTTCTTCTTATCCCGTTTCATCTCAAGGACGATAATGTTATCAGCCTGAAGGCATACTATGATGCCCAGCTTGCTTATGCCCGCAGGATGGTCGAGATTCTCGAGGCTGTCCCCGAGAGCACGTTTGCAGTATCGCCAAGTACATCCCAGACCAGCCATGAACGCAAGGTCTATCGACAGAGCTCCTTTGACCCCGAGGAGGAACAATCCGACCACTCAGACGACCATTACAGCATCCACACGGTTCCTACTCCTACTACTGCTACCCCTACCACAGGAAGACACCAACAACTCTATCGCGCACCTTCATTTTCAGACGTTCGCCAGCAGAATACCTTCAACTCTAACCAGCACCCGGGCAGTAACGCTGACCTCAGTCGGCCCACGTCATATTTGGTACCCAATGGAACCTCAGTCAGGAAGAACAGCACAGGGATGAACAAGGCAAATGTACACCCAGCAAGTTCAGCCTCTGCACCAGCAGCAGCAGCACCGCTACCAGTGCGTGAGAAAGCATGCAAACAAGTCAGGGCACTGTACAACTTTGATGCGACTGCCGAAGGCGAGTTGTCATTGCGCAAGGGCGATGTTGTCAGGATCATTGAGGAAATTGACGAGGGCTGGTGGGAAGGCGAGCTGGTGGATGCGAGTGGAGGACGGTGTGAGGGCATGTTCCCGTCCAATTATGTTGAGGAGATTGAGCAGCCTCAATTGCCACATCGCCAAGGATCGATACACTCCAGCTCGGATTCGACCCGGTACAACGATGTAGAAGAGAAGGTGTACTATGCGCGTGCAACAGCAGCGGCAGAATCATCCCCGCTGTACGAGGAACCTGAACCAAGTTTCGCGGAATCTGAGCCTGAGATTGAACCTGTTCAAGTTCCAGCAGCAAGACGAGCACCACCGCCACCTATGGTTCGCCAACAGTCGTTTACAGTGCCACTTGCTCGTGCGACGCCACCACCCAGTCGACCTGCTTCGGGGATGGCGACGACTAGCAAGGCAGTTGGATCCAGGATGGCGCCTCCTCCACCACCGACTCGTCGTGTAGGAGGGTCTGTAGATATGACGACTCGACCTCCATCGGGAATGAACGTGGTGACGACACCTCCGACGGGTTCTGCAGCGACGATGACGGGATACAACAATAGTAATAATAATAACAACCGAGTGTCACCGATACCAGCAACGCCCAATGGTCACGGTCATGGATATGGACAAGGACAGGGACAAGGACAAGGAGGATATCTGCCGAGAGAGTGTCTAGGACAGAGGCAGGCGAGTGTGTCGTCGATGGGTGTGTGTAGGGAGTGTCAGTGCGATGAGTTTACGGCGAATGTGTTTAAGCCTGGGTCGTGCAACAACTGTTTCCACGCCCATTAGACTGACTGTCGATAATAAACAACAGTGACGCGCTTGTGGCGCGAGGCAAATTGAAGGAAAGGAATTGATCAATCAATCAATTAATCAATCAAAAGAATGATACGCGTCTCGTTCCATCACCCTTCGTTTTATCAGACTGTAGTTTTCTACTCTAGTCCACCTACCACACGCACCCCACCCTTCTTCCCTTCCCTTCTTCTACGCACTCGACACGAATTAATATCTACCAGCAGCAACAAAGCACCACCACCACCACCACCACCAACAACACCAACACCACCACCAGCGCAAAAACAAACACAAACACAAACAAGCAACTATACATCACGCGAGGGCAAGTGAGTGATCTCACTCCTCATCCTCTCTTTTTACTCTCACTCTACTCTACTCTACTCCACGTCGCTCTTTACCTTTGCAATTGCACATTCCTCCTCTTCTCTTTCTTCATCTCCATCTCATCGAAAAGGAGGGTACGTGAACAAGACAAGCAACAAATCTAATCATTTCACCCAAAGACATCGCTTCTTTCTTTTCTTCTTTTTGTTTCCTTGGGTACTGACATTAAACTTTAGCTTGCTCCCCTTGTAGGAACAAACACATTCAAACCAACAAATCGCATCTTGGAGGAGGACAAACACAAAGAGTCAGTATGGATCAGCACCAGTACAGGCTGCATCAACAGCACCTGCAACAACAGCAGCAACAACAGCAGCAACAACGGCAGCAGCACCTCCAGCAGCAGCAGCAGCAGCAGCAGCAGCAGACACAACAACAACACCTACATCACCAACAACAGCTCCAACAGCAGCCACATGTACAACAACAACACCCCCCACAACAACAACAGCAGCAACAACAGCAGCAGCAGCAACACCTACACCAACAATATCAAAGACACCATATCCTCCACTCAGACCAGCATGGAATGCCACTCTCCAGTCCACAAGATCACCCCCAACTCTCCCTCAGCGGTCTCCCTCCTTTCCATCATCGCACCCCTGCCACGGGTATGGTCAACATGAACAACAACCCCGCCACCATGGTCATGCAGTCCGCCATTCACTCACCCGGAGCACCCCTGTCGCCTCGGACACCTGGCCTTCCCGGCTCCCCGATAGGATCACAGCAGGCCCAAGGGATAGGATTTGGACCGCCTGGAGGAGGAGGAGGGATGCCTTCGCCCGTAGGACCTCCGCCTTATAAAACCTCGACAGCTGCATTGTTGCAACAACAACGACAGCAACAATTGCTCCAACAACAAGCACAACAACAAGCACAGCAAGCCCAACAGGCTCACCAACAGCAATTGTTGCAGCAACAATTACAGCAGCAGCAGCTCCAACAACAACAATTGCAGCAGCAGCAAGCCCAGCAGCACCAACTGCAGTTGCAAGCCCAGCAGCAACAACAACAGCAGTTACAACAACAGCAGCAGCAACAGTTACAGCAGCAGCATATACAACAACAGCAACAACAACAACAACACTTACAATCCCCTCGGCCATTGGTGCCCCCCAACACAACACAGTCGCCACAACAAGCTGCTCTGCACAGGTCATCGATCCCGAGCCCGAGCTCGGCCCCCCAAACCCATACCAGTCATCCGATTCCTCTCAGTAATATTATCACCACAGGACCACCTCCATCGTCCATTCCCGCCGTGCAATCATCGCCTGTTTCACCGACTGATCCGAAGCCCACATCTCTCCAACTCTTACGACAGCGCCAGCAAGAGCTCGAGTTGCAGCGGAAAAAGGATCTTGAGCTTCGGAAGCAACGGGAATTGGAAGAACAGAAGCAGCGGGAGCTGGAAGAACAGCGCCAACGCGAGTTGGAGGAGCAAAAGAAACGCGAGTTGGAGGAACAGAGATTGCGAGACATCGAGGAGCAGAAGCTGCGTGAGATCGAGGAGCAACGGTTACGCGAGCTGGAAGAACAAAAACAACGCGAGCTGGAAGAGCAACGGCAGCGAGAGATCGAGGATCAAAGACTACGCGAGGCTGAGGAACAGAGATTGCGAGAGATCGAGGAGCAGAGGCTGCATGAGATCGAGGAGCAGCGCAAGAGAGAGTCCGAGGAGCAGCGTCAGAGAGAGTTTGAGGAACAGCGCCAGAGAGAGTTCGAGGAGCAGCGTCAGAGGGAATTCGAGGAGCAGCGCAAGAGAGAGTTTGAGGAGCAACGCCTGAGAGAGTTCGATGACCCACGGCAGAGAGATTTTGAAGATCAACGGCAGCACGATCTCGAACAGCAACGGCAACGCGAACTCGAGCAGCTGAGGCAACGGGATCTTGAGCTACAAAGACAGCGAGAACTAGAGAAGCAACGATTGGCAGAGTTACATCGACAGCAGCAACTCGAACTCGAACAACGACACCAAATGGAAGAGCAAAGGCAACGTGAGGAGGATGAACGGCGCCAGCGTGAGTTTGAGCAGAAACGACGCCAGCAGTCGGAGCAACATCAGACGGATCACCAGCATCAGCCATTACATCGCCTCAACCCACCACATACCATGGACACCGCACAATCGGATCAAGCGTACTCCACAGATCCCTACCATCAGCACTATCAGCCCCCGATGCAGTCTAGCCATCAGTCATCAAACTTGTATGGATCGAATGACCCCAATACGGAGACAAGGACGCCACACAGTCAACAGCAGGACGAGAGAGACATGCCTCCCCAGGAATACCAGCCTCAACCATCCTCGACTGTTCATTACATGGAGACTGACACTGATAATGGGGCTCCGAGCATCACTGCCATCAAGGTGGAGGAACAGTCAGCCATGGTACAGAGCACGGCACAACCGAAGATCCTCCCTCATCCACACCCATCACCGCAGCAGCAATTTCAGCATCATCAGCCAGAACCTCCACAACTGCAGCCAATGGCGGCGCCAATGCTGACGCCACAACTGCCGCTGGATGATAAACCAGTCCATGATGCGCCCATCGGACCAAGCCAGATCTTCAAAGCGACATACTCTGGCGTTCCAGTTTATGAGATGATTTGCAAAGGCGTGGCAGTCATGAGGCGACGATCGGACTCGTATTTGAATGCAACACAGATCCTCAAGGTGGCGGACTTTGACAAACCTCAGCGTACACGCATCCTGGAGCGGGAGGTTCAGAAGGGCGAGCACGAGAAGGTCCAAGGAGGATACGGAAAATACCAAGGTATGAACTATCAATTAATTATTGACAATAGCTATTGAACGTGGGCATGAAGGAGGACACGGCGATTGACCGAGTATATTTCAAATGGGCATAATAGGCACATGGGTCCCGTATGAACGAGGACTTCAGCTTTGTCAGGAATACAACGTCGTCTATCTTCTTCAACCGATATTGGAGTATCAGGCCACAAAGACGAGTCCACCCTTGGCGCCAAAACATATCACTGCCGCTTCGAATCGGCCACGGAAACCACGAGAGCCTCGCCCTGTAGGATCGACGCCAGTGGGGACACCCAAGATGAAGAAATCAAAGATAGACATTGCAACTCAAATCCTGCCCAAGCCAATGGACCTAATCATAGGACTTCCAGAAGAAACCTCTACTCCGTTTGAAGAAGGCGATACCGGAACAGCACTATCAGGAACAGAAGGCGACGAGGATGCGGCTGAGGACATGACCGGAACGTCTGATGATGGTGGCGAAGGTACGCGTTGTTCGTTCTTTTATCAGCTCATAAATCTTTTTACAACTAAAATAAGGTCGTAATTAACACTCTTCTTTCCTATGTCCGTCGTTCTATAGATAGTGACGTGAGTATGGACGACACGATGAGTCTGTTGTCAGATCGTAGCTTGAGCCAAAGCATGACTCCCTCACCAACCCGATCGCACGACGACCTTTCTACCGACGATGCTTCAGACAAGGAGAGCCACTCATCCTATTCGTCAGAATCACCTTCAACATCCCCCTCAGCCAAGGCCCGTCACATGTCGCCCAACTCACGCAAGAAGCATCGACGATCTGGTGATGAACTCTTTCACGGAAGCGAGGACCAACTCCCAACCACACCTCAGAGGAAACGGAGAACTCGACGAGACGGAACTATGGACGGCGATCTGGAAGGCAGCTCTCAAGCAGAGGACGAGGGCAACAATGACGACCGGGAGGGCTCCTTTCTGCGGGATAACTCTCCTAGCGTCAACGGCAAGGAGGCTCGGAGATCGAACTCGCGCACACGGGCTTCGGATCAGGATCAGGATCAGGATGACCGCAAGTCGACCACGTCCTCAATTGTGACAGCCACAGCTACCTTAACCGCCTCTGGTGATATCCTCGCCCGCGGTCCTCATGCCGAGATGCTGTTGGAGTACTTCATCTCGGATTCTCCAGGTCTTCCTACTCTTCTCACCCAACCACCATCGGATTTGGACGTGAATGTTGTGATCGATGAGGAGGGACACACAGCACTCCACTGGGCGGCAGCGATGGCGAAACCGGATGTGATCAGGCTACTGATCCAGCTTGGCGCCGACACCTATCGGGTCAACACGGACGGACAGACGGCGCTCATGCGGAGTGTGCTCTTTAGCAACAATTTTGAGCAAAAAGAGTTTGTTACTCTGCTTGAGCTTTTGCAAAAGTCCATCTTTACGATCGACAAGGACGACCAGACTGTATTCCACCATGTGGCGATCACGGCTGGCCAGCGAGGCAAGATTCACGCAGCACGGTACTACCTCGAATGTCTACTCGCCAAGTTGGCCAATCACCCATCCGAGTTGGCGTCGATTATCAATGTGCAGGACCGGGAGGGCGATACTGCGCTGACGATTGCGGCGAGACTCAAAGTTGGTGGCAAGAAGGTGGTCAAGATGCTGCTGGATGCAGGTGCGGATGCCAAGATTCGGAACCATCTGGGCAAGAACGCCGAGGATTATATTGAGGAGACCGAGCAGGCGATTACTTCAGCTGTTGCATCCACGGCATCAGCGGCAGCGGCAGCGGCAGCAGCATCAGTCAACACGAACGGAAGTACCAATGGACATGATGCAACTGCTGCAACGGCACTTGGAGCTTCTCCTGCTGGACCAGGAGCTACAACAAAGGCGGCGGTGAGTCCGAACGGTGCTGCTCCTCCAGCAAATGGAGTACAAGCCACGGTGCCAAGCCTACCAGAAGAGTCAAAGACGCAAAGTCGGTACCCGACTCAAGTTCAGGATTTCCGTGCAGAAAAGTCCTCCATCGGCCACCCAACAGCTGGAATGGCTGGTGCCGGCCGCAAGGCCACACCAGGTGCTCATCTCCAGCAGCAACAACAGCAACATTCGTCATCGGCCTCCAGCAGTCTCTATAAGCAACTTCAGGAAGCCAACTCCAAATCTGGACCTCCCGCCAACACCGCCACCACCACGACCGCCATGCCACCGCCTACTTCATTGCCAAATGGACAGTCTTTGACGGCGTCGACTCGGAACGTGGTGATCCCGACAGTGAGCGACTTGTTTGGGCAGCTGACGCACTCGTACGAGAAGGATATCTTTGAGAAGGACCAGGATATTGTCGAGGCGCGCAACCTGCTCCAGGGTATGCAGTCCGAGATTTGGGAAGGTCGTCGGACGATTCTGGAGTTGAAGTCTACGGCGTCGATGTTGAAGAAGGCCGAGGAGGAGATTCGAGAACTGGAGAAGAAGATCAAGCAGGAGGTTCATATCCGACAGCGACTGCGGCTGGAGGAATTGATTCACGAGCAGGAGGAGGAGGAGGAGGAAGGGCTCAAGCACAAGCAACCGGTGAATGGTGTTCTTGAGGTGAAGGGACATGATGACATGGATGTAGAGAAGGAGGCGGAGAAGAAGGGAGTCGTAACCGAGGCACAGCCGCAAGGAAACGAATCGACAACACAAGCGGTTTTTGATGGACTGAATGGAGAGGCGAAGGAATTCATGCCCTCTACGACCAAAGGATCGGAGACTACGGACGCGCCTGTTCCGAACGCCACTACTGAGATGGAGGCAACTACCACCAAGGCGACATTACCAGCAGCGCCTTTGAGTGACCATCCAGAAAGGGTACAACAACCATTGAAGAATGAGGCGGAGACATTGCGGACGAAATTGGAGGAACTGCAGAAGAAGCGCAAGGAAAGGGTGGACGAAATGGTGGCGCTGAAGAGTCAGCAGGGAACGCGACGACACGAGTACCAGCGATTGATTGCACTTTGCTGTAATGTTTCTATGGACCAGGTCGATGGGCTTTTGCAGCCCCTTTTGACGTCTCTTGGCGAGGATGTTTGAGTCTGGGGTATGTCTGGACGAGCGAGCGATTAATATTTTTTTTAGTTATCTTTTTGTCACATTGTAAATTTACATTACCCTACCAGAAACCGTTGAACCACATACAAAAAATGGCGAAGCCAACAACGATGCTTTGGAAAACATTTATTTGTTGTTTGGTGGTACACGGTGAGAATGCTTTGATAAGTGATGAACAAGCTGCGAAAAAAGCGAGAAAGGAAAGGAAAGGAAAGGAAAGGAAAGGAAAGGAAAGGAAAGAAAAGGCATGAATATGAAATAAACGAACGAGCAAAGAACAAAAAAAGAAAGTGGGGGAAAGAAACAAGATAACAACATGCTAGAGCATCGCTTATTTACGCGTTGGTGACATCGTTGGTACGAGAAACACCTCTCCACTTTGCAAAAACATGGGCAATCTGTGCCATGAAGATAATAGGTGTAGCCACAACAATCATGATTCCAAACACAACCATGGTCCACCAAAATCCAAAGTCTTCAAAGATAAAACCGGCCAAGATAGGGCCTACAGCCATCGACAGAGAATAGGTCATGTTGTACAACGCATAGGTCTTTGCATACCCGTTCCAGCCCTTCTTGTTGACCACATCTGCCATGGCTGGAAGGAGCGGCGTCAAGATGGTCGAAGAGCCGAGACCGAAGAGGGCCAGGGGCAGGATGAAGGTGAGGAAGGTCTTGGGCATGGAGAGCGAGAATGTTGCGACTGCAAAGATGGCCATTCCCAGGAGAGAGACGTAGAAGTGGCCGACCTTGTCGGCGTAGTATCCGATGGCGGAAGAGAAGAGCGTTGGAAAGATGGCGGCCAGGAAAATGAGACCTGTCTGTGTAGGGCCTGCACCCAACAGCTCTTCCAAATACAACGGCAGAACCGGCTCCAGTCCTACACAGATCGAAGTGTGATTAGTTGGTCTATGCTGCACTGTCAATGGTTATAAAACACAACAGCATTCTCTCATAAAGAAACATGAAAACATACCGGAGAAGACGCTGGCAGCGACAAAAGTGGCGAGAAGACAGCAGGTAATGGTCCAGTTGCTGGCAATCTCAAACATTGACACGTCATTTCCTGCAATCTCGCTCGAAGATCCATCATTCGCTGGCGAGTGTGAAGAAGACGTAGAGCTAGACATCGCTCCATAACTCGAAAATCCATCTGCCTGATGCTGAGTACCATTCTTCTTCTCAACGTGAACCTGATGGTGCAAGCCATCGTCCAAAATCTCCTGAGCGTGCTGAGGGTCCGTGATGGCCGCGGCAGTCCTCTCAACCGCAACAACAGTTGTTGTCGAAGGCTCATGGACAGTTAAACCGTCCACTTCCTGCTCAATTGCACCTGAAGCGGTCCCCTCGTCCTGATCGACCTTGACAGTGGCGACCTTCTTCTTCTCAGGTTCGGCAATGAAGACGATGCACAAAAAGTCCAGGATGGCCAATCCTGCGCAAAAGATGAAAGGGGCGCTATATCCGTGGTACTCGTACAGGTATCCTCCCACCATGGGTCCCACCATGAATCCGACTGCGTTTGCCGTCATTGTTGCGCCCATTACCACGCCCAAGTTGTCTGGAGGGTACACATCCGCCAGCAACCCCAATCCAATCGTCCTATTGTTGTTTTGGTCAAAGGCAAGAGCAAAAGAGGTTTGGGATCTCAATATCAGCATAATGTCCCTGAACTCTTGAGCGGCGAAAAAGAAAAGATAGAGTTGTGAAAAAGATCATACCAGGAGGCACCACCGGCAGATCCCTGACCGATTCTGGCTAGGATGAGAACCCAATAGTTGCTTGCGAGCGAGAATCCGACTGTGGCGACAGCAAGTCCGAGCATTCCGACCATCATGGGTATCTATCCAAGGAGAAAACACGAAAGAACAGGTATGGTGTGATTGATGGTCAGCATCGCCACAAAGACAAGACTTGCATGACATGCGCTCCGTAAGTTTCTGTGCGACACTAAAATAAAATAAATCGTGAACTCTGTGGGCGGGAAACACATGATTCCAATCCTTAGCTTATCCCATTATCGCTCCTTGGCTGTAAAAGAAAGAGGGGAGGCGCTTGTGTTGAGGCGAAAAAAAGTTGTCCGAGGAGAGAATGAAGTGTGAATAATGCGATGGAGTGAAGAGGGGGGTGGTGATGAAGTCTGCTGTCCCCCCAGGGTCAATCCGTGCTCGTTTGTTCGTTCTTCTATCGGGTCGAAAGCATCATGGACCGAGTGATCCATGTGCAGCTGTTATTGCGAGTTGCGAGTTGCTCGTTCTTACCCTGCGGTTCTGATACTTGTCGCTCAGGATGGCAAAGACAGGGGTGGACGCCAACAATCCGATCGCTAAATGACCCAAACAAGAGGACACATTAGTCAATAGGTCACATTACATTGACAGACGTTCGTTGCATGCATTCGCAATCCTCTATCCTGAAGTATGATAATCCGTAGTTTCCTGGTTGCTTTCCTATGTGTGCTCTCATAGTTATCAATGAATCATTGTTCATTCCTAGTGTTGTGCCCTCTTCCTTCGTTCCGTAATTGCGCACACCCCCTTTCTTTCATCCAAGTCTATGTCCAGTTTGCAGATGATCTGTCACTTGCTTTTTCCTTCTCTCTCTCCCATCCTGCTTGCATCCCTGTCTTCCTGTCCTCATCCTTAATATCCTATCTCGAGTCGAGGGTGTATGGCATGAATGGGATCCATCTTTGGCTTTGGTCGTATCTCCGTCAACATATAAAAAACGAGTTTGTGATCACAGGAGTCACATGGTTCTTGACTTCATGGTGAGAGCACACTGTTCACAGGAAATGAGAGAGAGGCAAAGGAAGCCGATCGATGTCTGTCCGCCTCTATCCCTGTTGCTATCAACAATCGAGGAAAGTGCGCAAGTCTTACCGTAGCAGGCAAAGAGGAGTCCTACCTCTCTGGGGGTGCCTCCGAGACGGTTCTTGACAATGTCGGGCAAGATGGGGACGACAACTCCGTACACAACCTAATAAAGTTCAGTACCAGGAAAGAAGCGTCAGTAATGGTACAGTACAAAAAGAAGATCTTGGAGGAGAAAAACAAGATTATCTGGCAGGCAGCTTCAAAGTCCACACTCGTCTTTGTCAGACCGGCTGTTGCTGTAGAGTGTATGTGCTCCATTTCCCCGCCCATTTTTTTAATCTCATTGCAAACAAGCGACAATGAGGACGAACAAAAGAGATCGCACCAAGTAGAAGGTCCGACTGCACCGAATCTTCGGAGTCTCTTTCCCCTCCTTTTTTCTTTGACGCTTTCTTCCTGTTGGTTCCTTCGGTTCCCTCGGTTCCTGGACCCGCCAGTCTCTCTCTCTCTCTTTTTTTTTTCTCTCTTTACGAAGGCGCGCGAAAGCAGAGTATGAGTGACTATTGCAAAATGTGCCTTCAATGGAATGAATGGCTGTTAAAGAGGATCAACGAAAAGAGGGTCCTGGAGTGGTTTGTTTACCATGTCGGTGAAGAGAGCCATGGCGACAACACAGGCCACGGCAAAGGGGGATCTGCGGGCTCTGTACCATGCAGACCGCTCGAGGCCTTCTTCTGTTGTTGTTGCTGCTGCTGTAGTTGACGACAGAAGAGGCTGCCGTTCGTCCGACTGGGGCAATGGAGCAATCATTTCTTCTTGGTAGGGGGGGAGGGACGAGGTAGGGTATCAGGCGGGTTATTAGTGTTCAAACAACAAGACTGAGATGAAAGTGAATGAGGAATGCGTCGAGTTGAATGAACAAGTGGAGAAAGAGTGGATGAGGGGTTGAGGAAGGGAGGAAGGAACAGACAAACAGGTCGACGAAGGAAGAGGAAGAGGAAGGACAAGAAGATGAAGAGAAACAAAAAGAATGACTTTAAATAAAAAGAACAAATCCACGTCCTTTCCTTTCTACCCTACTCCTCTTCATCGGCGTCTCCTTTCTTCCTTCTCTCTTTCTTCAGCCTGACTACCTTTCTTCTTACACATTCCAATATCCCTCCCCCATCCCTCCCTCTCTCTCTCTCTCTCTCTCTCTCTCTTTCTCAAAACCCATCTCCTCAGTCTATAGTGCTCATGCTGTATCATGTCCATGCCCACGCCACGCCAGCAATGCTCATGGGAAAAAAACACAATAGCCTTCAATGATCAAACAAACAAACAAACAAACAAACAAACAACACACAGACGTCAGTCCGGACAACAATCGTGGCATACATGGACTCTTCTGTCAAACAGGGCAGAACGCAACCCTTCCTGGAAGACAACATCAGACAACAGCTGAACAAAGGGAGCAAGGTTGGCGAATGGAACACAAACAAGAGAGGGAGAGAGGCAGCCATCGGTTTGAATAAAGTGGGACAGTCAGAATGGTCAGACAGAAACCTTTTTTCTTGAGAGAGAAAAGGGAGTTGCGTTGTGCGCACATGGCAGGAAACACGTTGTTATTGCTTACGACAATGTCCGTTGGAATGCAACGATCGAGGAAAAATGCACACACGATACACAATGATAGCAAGCGAAGAGCAAGGTATTGCACGGCGTATAGCGTGCTGCAGAGACGAAGTGAAAGCGACAAGGGCCTATTTGTCCCCTCTCTTAGACTCGACTTTGATCAACTCAGGTTGCATGATCCTTCGTGGGTGAAAAGGCGGACAGAAGGAGTATTACTGATGTGCTCAACGTTTGTTGAAGTGTCGTCCTTTCGAGCAATACTTCGGCCATCAACCATCACATATCAACTAATAAATGTCAGCCTTCAACCATCAGCCATCGACCATCAAACATCAAACACCAACCATCAGCCACCAACCATCCACCATCAACCATCAACCATCAGCCACCAACCACCAAGTATCAAATATCAAATATCAAATATCAGCGATTTCATTTGACTGATCATGGAGGCGAGAAAAATGATTGTTTAGGCAGAGATGTATGTGTAAACCCATCTTCACTGCCTGGATGCACTCTTTTGTCCAGTAATCAATTGCCTTCCACCCAGAAGACGTAATAATGTCCCTTCTTCGAGAATAAGCCAGAGCAACCAAAGAAAAAAAATGCAAACCCACTATCCTCGTTCCAACTATCGTCTTGCATGAATAATAAGAAAGTTACTTCGAGTCGTCACTGTCATCTGCCAACACGTTCGCTTATAACAAAAAAAGTCAACACTGAAAACGGCTCAACAAACACATGGGTAAGCAAATAAACTTCGTACTGGAGTAACAATGATCAACCGACAGCTAACAACTCGCATCTTGTCCTTGTTTTCGCCTGTTCGCCTGTATGATCATATTTCTCCATTTCTCTTTCTTGCTACTCGTCATCCTCTCTTCCGACAGTGGGTAGATGTAGATCGGGTTGCCACTCCTTGCAATTATCGGAACAAAGGGTAGCAAGTAGTAGTAATAAATTACCTTGGTGTGTATTCTTAGCTGTCGCCTACTATTCCAGAGTACATTGAGTGATGAGAGATGCAAACAAAGGTAATATGTACCAATATAGTGGAATGGACCAAACGTTCTTTTGTTATTTTTTGTTGATCGTTCCCAAGCCATTGCCTTCTCGCCATCAGCCAACGTGTCCTCAAGGAGTAAGCTAGAGTCTTTTACTTTTCTTTCATGTTATGGAATCGCGTTTCGCTGCCTTTGTTTTCGCAGGAGGAAGAAGGGCTTGTCTCAGCCTTCCTCGCACCTTCTTCCTTCCTGTCATTTGCTGCGATATTTCTCCGGGGTTGCTGCCACTCCTCTCCTCTCATTTCCTTACGTTTCCACCTTCCCTCCACACCGCACTCTTTTATTCTTTATGCTGTTTGTTCACCCGGCATCTCCATACACCCTGGCAACAACCTTTCTCTTGCTCACCTGTACTTTTCTTTTTCTCTTCCTTTCTTTACTTCCTCTTCTTTCGTTTCTACCCTTTTCTTCCATCCCCTTCGCCTGACTCCCCTCCCTATATGCGCCTGGCCCTCACTTGTCCCTTTCCCTATAGTGTTGCCGTTACCTTGAACCCACCGAACGCCGTCCTCTCTCTCCCTGCACTCCCTCTTTCTTCCACGCCTCCTCTGTCCTTTCCTTTACTTTACTTTCCTTTCCTTCCCTTCCCGTAAACTCAATTTTTAACCCTTTGGCAACTTCGACAAACAACAACTGGACCCTGCAAAGGTAAACGAAGAGCCCAGCTACTTCGCCACAAACGGTCGAAAGCAACAGGAAGAGAACTATTATCTCGCTCCTTCTCCCCCCCTCTTCGCCTGGTCGATGGCTTCTCTTCTTCATCTACTACAGCTATTCCAATCCAACCCTACAAATAACCTCGCTGTCCATATCGTTTTGGTTGATACTTTTCATTCCGCTCTTTCCCACCTCGTTTTCTTTTTCTTCTATCTTTTGTAATTCTCTCGCCCCTTCCTCATTCTTCGCTTGGCGCTCACTACCATACCCTCCCTTTTACCTTACTGCAATTTGACCAGACCATAATTTCTTTTTTGTCCTTTTTGTTTGTTTTGTTCCGGGATTTACTGCTTTGTCATAAGAACCTCGTCGTCTAACTTCATGTGTGCACCTCTCCCTTTGCCTCATTCTCCAATCCAATCTCTTTCTCTCTTTCTTCTCCCCTTCCACCTCTTTCCCCTTTCCTCCTTCTTTTCCACTCTTCCCCTCACTCCTCTATCTTCTTCCCTTGTCTGTCTCTCCTCCTCCTTTCGCCTTTCCACTGTTCACCATCATTGCACAAATATACCCATAACAGCTCCTTGAACGCGGTTCCACCTTGTGCTTCTCTCCTACCGTAGTATGGATAACAGCAATAATGACCCAAATGGAGAAGACCCCAACAACGTGGTCCACGACACCCCTGCAAGCCATGGTGCACCTCCACCTGCATTTGAGCCCACCTGCCAGGAGCCTTATGTCGCATATCAACAACAACAAAATCAACAACAACAGCGGCAGCAGCAACCAGAGCACCAGGACCTGTACCAGCAGCAACCGCCATCACAGGTGGCATATGCCCAACCAGAGTATTACCCTCCGCCTGCAACTGAACTCCAGAGCGAACCCCTGCAGACGTATCAGCAGGCTGTCTCTAGCCCACATATTGACCCGAGTCAGATTTTCCAGTCATCTCCCGATCAGCAATCCATCATGGCCCAACACCAGCACCAACACCAACAGGCACTGCAATCGTTGCAGTCACAGGTTAGCTATCAAGATCAACAACAGCAGCAGCAACTGCCACAGGATACATCTCTTCAACCTCAATTCGACCAGCAGCAGCAGCAACACCAACCAGCACAGATGACCCAACCTCAGCAACAGCAGCAGTATGTGATTCAACCTCGACAGGAGCCACAAAAACAATCCTATACAGCACCTCGCTCCACCACTCCTAAAATAGAACGACCCTACAATAACGGGCCATTCTCGTTCACCCCAGATGAGCTCATTGACCTCATTGACCCCAAGGCGCCAGAGAAACTCGAATCTTATGGCGGTGTAGACGGTATCCTCCAAGGACTTCATGCTGACCCCGTCAAAGGTCTCGCTACAGCTGCAGGCGGCAAGTCGCTCGGCCATGTGACAACGAATGCCAATGGTGAGAAACCGACAACAGTGTCTTCAGGGTACCAGATGGGCAATGTCGATACCACAGCGGTTACGTTTGCAGATCGCGAGGAGTTCTTTGGAAAGAATGTGCTGCCGAAGCGGAAGCCCAAGTCGATCTTTCAGCTGATGTGGATTGCTCTCCACGAAAAGATTCTGGTGAGTGTGATGAATTATTGCTTTCCTTTTTTTCAAGGACAAAGGGTTGATGTTTATTGCTTCTTGAGGTTAGGTTGTTGCTGTGGAAGGATGGGAAACGGGAAGGGATAAGAGCATGGAGACAATCGAAAAGTGCGTGTGTGTGTGTTTTTTTATGAGAGTGATTGACACAGGGCACTACAAGACAGGAAACGTGCGGGGTATGCATTATTGGCCAGGTTTATTATATTAATTCGTCACTCAACAATGACTGCCTTGGACAACCATCGCCAGGAAACCAGGAAACATGAAGCCGGTGATCTCCTTCCATTTTGATGTTCTGCTGACAAGCAAAATCCATCCACATACCCATGCATGCATTCTATATACCGCCCTCCATTCCTTTTTTTTTTTTTTTTTTTTTTTTTTTTTGGCCGATACTGTACATCCTCTTGTTCTCTCTTTAACTGACTCACTGACTAATTGAATTTCTACAGATCCTGCTACTGGTTGCCGCCCTTGTCTCGATCGCCCTGGGAATCTACGAGGACTACGGAATGGAGCATGAGCCAACGCAAAGATACAACCGCGACTACACTTCCTACTACGCCACTGACCCAAAGGTCTCCTGGGTCGAGGGTGTCGCCATCCTGGCTGCCGTCGTCATCGTCGTCCTCGTCGGATCCATCAACGATTACCAGAAGGAAGCCCAGTTCCGCAAATTGAACGCCAAGAAGGAAGACCGTGAAGTCAAGGTATATTGATCTGTTGTTGCTGTTTATTGTCACATCTATAGGCAGTACGCATATACTGGAATTCGATATGCGGGAAAGGAGTGTCAAAAACGACCAATGGTTCAATGTGGAATCGGCATGGATAGACTCTCACGGTTGCGCTCTCTCAATCACCCATCCTTCGTCATGTCTTTTTCGTAATCCTCATACAATAATATTCTTGGAACGATGGGAACCACTGCTCTATTAGGCCCTTCGAAACGGCGAGACGGTGTTGCTGTCAGTCTTTGACATCCTTGTCGGAGACATTCTCCACCTGGAGCCCGGTGATGTGATTTCAGTTGATGGCATCTTCTTGGGAGGACATAACCTCAAGTGCGACGAGTCGGCCATGACCGGAGAGTCTGACGCAGTCAAGAAGGTCACCTTTGATGAGTACAAAAAGCTGGAGGAAGCCGAAGCTGGCAGCCAAACCGAGGGCAAAATTGAGTCCAACCACGAGGGAATCGAAGTCATTGCCGAGCCACAGTATGCACTCCATGGCGTTGACCCCTTTATCATCTCGGGATCCAAGGTTATAGAAGGCGTTGGTCTCTATGTCGTCACGGGAGTCGGCCAGAACAGTTTCCATGGAAAAACGATGATGTCGCTCCGTACCGAGGTCGAGGACACCCCACTCCAGGTGAAGCTGAACCATTTGGCTGAGAGGATTGCAAAGCTGGGAAGTTTGGCTGCCTTGCTCATGCTGATTGTGCTTATGATCCGGTACTTTGTCAGTTTCAAGACTAAGGGTGTCCCCGCTGCTGCCAGCATTGTCAAAAGTTTGGTCGATATTCTCATTGCTGCCGTTACTGTCGTCGTCGTCGCTGTTCCCGAGGGTCTTCCTTTGGCTGTCACCCTGGCCTTGGCCTTTGCAACCACTCGCATGTTGAAGGACAACAACTTGGTTCGTGTCCTCGCTGCCTGTGAGACCATGGGTAACGCCACAACCGTCTGCTCCGACAAAACCGGCACCTTGACTCAAAATAAGTAAGTGCCGCCCATTTCCTGCTCTCCAATGCTCAATCGCCATGCTAGCGTTTTCTGTTTTCTAACTTCATTCTCGTCTTCATGTCTGTTGGATCCTAGGATGACCATTGTTGCGGGTACGCTTGGATTGAACACTCGCTTTATTGCAGATGTACCTCAAGGGGAGAGCAATGCTCGTTCCCAGATTCCCATCAACCGCAATGCCGTCCCTATAAGCCAACTTGTCAGCCATCTCCCTAACGCCGTAACAACCTTGATGCACGAGGCAATTGCCATCAACTCGTCAGCCTTCGAGAGTGAAGATGACAAGGGCAATCTTTCGTTCATTGGATCCAAGACCGAGGTTGCCCTGCTCGATTTCTCCAAAAAGATTGGTGGTGCCGATTACCGTCGACTCCGAGAGGCTACGCCTATAGTCCATCTGTACCCCTTTTCGTCCGAGCGCAAGTCCATGGCCACGATTGTCCAAATGGGACCCAACCGGTTCCGTCTCCATGCCAAGGGTGCATCCGAGATTATCATGAAACGCTGTACTCGTGTCCTTCAAATCCCCAGCACCCCTGACCATGGAGGGGCCTCTATGTCTGAGAAAGATCGTATGGCCGAGGTTACTGAGCTGCCCTTGGAAGGAGATCTGCAGACCCAGGTACACAAAACCATCATTTCTTATGCCACTCAATCCCTCCGCACCATCGGTATTGCTTACCGTGATTTCGAGTCCTGGCCCCCAGTCGGTGTGGACCTCAACCAGGACGGCGAGGTTCCCTTTGCTGCAGTGGCCGAAAACAACTTGACCATGATCGGAGTGGTCGGTATCGAGGATCCCCTTCGTGATGGTGTTTCTGAGGCTGTCCAAGCCTGTCAGCGTGCAGGTGTGTTTGTCCGCATGGTCACAGGAGACAACATCCTCACCGCTAAATCGATTGCCACACAGTGCGGCATCTACACCAAGGGAGGAATCATCATGGAGGGTCCCAAGTTCCGAGCCCTCAGTGGAGAAGAGATGGATGCTGTTATTCCCCGTCTCCAAGTCCTGGCCCGATCTAGTCCTGAAGACAAGAAGATTTTGGTTGGTCGTCTGAAGGCTATGGGCGAAATTGTTGCTGTGACAGGAGACGGTACGAATGACGGTCCTGCTCTCAAGATGTCTGACGTTGGTTTTTCGATGGGTATCGCTGGTACCGAGGTCGCCAAGGAAGCTTCGGATATTATTCTGATGGACGACAACTTTTCCAGCATTGTCAAGGCCATTCTTTGGGGTCGTGCCGTCAACGATGCCGTGAAGAAGTTCCTCCAGTTCCAGCTGACAGTCAACGTTACGGCTGTCATCCTTACTCTGGTCACCGCTGTGATCTCGGACACGCAAAAGCCCGTCATGTCAGCCGTCCAGTTGTTGTGGGTCAACTTGATTATGGATACCTTGGCGGCCTTGGCTCTTGCGACCGACCCTCCAACAAACGATTTACTGGATCGTCAACCTGAATCCCGTACCGCCCCTCTAATCAACTTTACAATGTGGAAGATGATTCTCGGTCAGGCCATCCTTCAGCTCGCCATTACCTTTGTGCTCGAATACGCCGGTATGGACATTCTCAACTACGATGAGGTTCCCGGATACCTTCAGGAAAGAGCCCGAGCCAGCAGTCCCGATCCAGCCATACAACAGGAGAACCTTGACAGCATCACCATGGCCTACACTCAATTCAAGCGTCAAGAACTCGACACCATGGTCTTCAACACCTTTGTCTTCATGCAGATCTTCAATGAGATCAACTGTCGCCGCCTGGATAACCACCTCAACATCTTTTCAGGCATCCAGAGGAACAACTACTTTATCATCATCTTCTTCATCATGGTCATCTTCCAGGTCATCATTGTCCAGTTTGGTGGCGCTGCTTTTGATACTGAGAAGCTGAATGGCATTCAATGGCTGATCTGTATCCTCCTCGGACTCCTCTCTATTCCCGTCGGAGTCATCATTCGTCTCATCCCTGAGGAGCTGTTTGGAGGTCTCAAGCGATGGGTCAACCGCTCAAGTCCGCCGCGTAGTAGTGTCCCTACCTATGACAACTATGCCCTGGGATCGGGTTCATGTATCGGGGGAGGCGGCTCGATGGGAGAAATGAACCGCGTCAACTCGACTCCAGTTTCGATCCACTCGAACCGCGCAGGATCGATGATGAACGGCAGTACCAACAATGTGCACCTCTCCTATGGAGCACCCGGTCGCGATGGTCTCATCTGGAACTCTGCGATTACAAAAGTTCGGTCTGATCTCTCTGTCTTCAAGTCTATCCGTGGTGGACGACTCTCTGGGGAGAGTGAGAGGCATGTACTGCACGCCGGCGCAATGGTACCTTCGTTGGTGGCTACCTCTGTAGGTGCGGGATGGGCACCTCGGCCTAGCCAGTTGAATCACACTGATATGGGCAGTAGTAGTCCTCGATCGAGTATGGTCATCTCTCGGCAGGGCTCTGGCAACCAGGCTGGTCGTTCGTACTAGGCAGTAATGCGACTTTTTTTCTGCTTCGGCCCGTTCTATTAAAGATTTAAGATTTTTCTGCTTGTTCTCCTTCTAAAGATTGTCGCACGTTCTAAGAAATGTGCGATCTCTCTTTTTTTTTTGCCTGTTTTCCTTCCATTATTAGAGATATCTTTCTTGCACAATACAAAATGGAAGTGCTTCTGAACTCTGGAGAGACGATTGGATGTGGATGGGAATGGGAGGCGAAAAGTTAGCGTAATGCATGGATTGACAGCCAATCAGTTGCACCACGAGGAGAATCGATTGACGGAAAAGTGGGGTGAAGTCCCCATCCTTTTTCTTTGTTCAAGTACACGTACACTTCTGTGTCCCTCTTTCCAGAGGATGAGGAAAGTCTTTGAGGCGCGTGATAATTGTCTACCGGATCAAACGTGCATTGTGTGGACAGACTCCCTCCACGATGTTGTTTGACAGACAGAAAAGCAAAAAAGATGAAGAGTGTGAACTCACGCGAGCAAATTACTTGTTTGCAAGAGGAAGACATGTCTCGGGCACAACACGCATAAACATAACGGACGGTTAAACAGACAGACAGATAAACAGACGAAGAAAGGAAGGAAGGAAGGATGTGAGAGCCATCGGATGGTGTGAGAGCAGCAACAACAGTAACAACAACAACCAAAAAAAAGTATTAATGTAGATATATCTACCGACAATGACCTCGTGTATAAAAATGCACGGTTGAACCCTGGTGTTCCTCTCTGAGCTGTTCCCAATCTCTGTCATCCATCCCTGGACCGGTGTTTGTTCCTTCTCTCGATTCGATTCCATGGAACATATCTCTCTTTCATCCCTCTACTCTACGCCCAAGCGCACAGTTTATTTCCATTTTCTATTTCTTGTTCACCCTTCATATTCATTCCACCTTGCCATCATCAACACTCTTCCCTTCCCTTCCATTCACATTCATACCCACCCACTTCACCAACAAAGGCGACATCCCTCTCCCCTTTTACCTTTCCTTTTTCCTTACCTTTCTCCTTCCTTTGTTGTGGTTCTTTGATATACGACTTTATCAATCTCTCTCGCATTCTTCCTTACATCATCACCTACCCTCACCATCAACCGTTATCAGTCGTTCCAACCGTCCGTTCGTCCAACAAAGAAGAACCTCCTCCTCCTCCACCTTCACTCTCCGCTTTTCATAACACACAATTCACAATACTTCATAGCAAGATACTCCCTTATCTAGATGCCTCTGACCCAGCCGCAGCCTCGCTGGCTGTCGCTCTTCCTCCTCCTCCTCCTTGCCATCATCCTCCTCCAATCCACCTCCTCCTCCTCCTTATCCCCTTCGCCCTCACACCTCGTCAACGCCGCACCTGCACCCCCTCCCTTCCCCGCGCAACAACAAGTACAACAATTACAACTACACGACCATGCAATAACAAGGCGCAACATCGACATCCGTACAGACAACACTCGGCTAGCATCAATAGGACCTCGATCGGAATCGGACTCGCGGCCAGTAGACGACTCAAATGCAACAAGAACCACTTCATCACGGACATCACCGCCTGAAAGAGGACCTGTCCATGACCAGGACATTCCCCCATCAGAGTACTACCCACGAGGCCACTCAGTCATCTATGACCGCTTCGCCATTCAACAGGAACCCAAGGTGGCCACATACCTATGCAACGAAGACAATCCCAAAGAGTACATGGCTAGGGGCGGCAACTTTTCGTCCAATTCGGGAGATGGTGTCGACCCACCAGGGGCCCGGACGTGTACCTGGAAGATAACTATTCCGGGGGACGGAACTTCGACGACGGGGCCCTCTATCATTCAACTGTCTTTCTGGAGCGAGATCATGCTCGCCTGTGGGTATGTTCTTCAATTTCACTTCACGCTGATTTTGTCATTTGTTTTGGTCATGCTACACACTGAGTGAGATACACATGTCGTCTTCGAACTCTTTTGTTCTTTTTTATCCATGATCTGTTCCTTGCTACCTTTTTGCTTTCGGCTATGGTTCCACTGAGCGAGATACATATTTCACCGTCAAGTTCTTCTGACTTTTTTTGGCATTTGATGGTACCCTTTTTTGCATACATTCCTAACAAAAGCCCTTTTTCCACACTCAATTACTTGTTGTTGGTACATTGACACTTGTACTCTATGCTGACGCGTGAAAATAACAAACAGGAAGGACTCGTTGGCGATCTACGATGGACCAGACACAACCTCAACACTGCTTGCCAATCTTTGCGGGAACTATTGGCTGAACAACCCCCCTTTATTGTACTCGTCTGGTTCTCAATTAACTGTCGTCTTTACAAAGTCGGCCGACTCACCATCAGCGATCGGTTTCACTGGCTCCTGGTCAACCGTGTCGCCCTGCGACATCTGTCTGACCTCTGGCAAAGGCACCTGCAAAGCTGGTACCTGTGCCTGTAATCCAAAGTACACTGGGTCCGTCTGCCAGAAAGGTAACGATGACCTATTCGATTGAAAAGGGTAGATCATAAATATCCGATATACCTTCACCCGACACATGCATCCAACCATCCACGCCATATTAATGTTTACTTGCATTCCCCTCTAAAATGGCTATGTGCCCTGTAGAAACGACAGGGTTCGAGATGTTTACTCCACGCTCGCAACATTCGATGGCGTACGACTCTGCTAAGGATATGGTCTACATCACTGGAGGGACCAACAGCCGTACTCAATTCTGGGACCTGCTCACGTTTAGTTTCGGTATGTAGATTTGTACCTCGCTTGGTTCGTCTTTTCTTTACAGCTGGTTTTCCGTTTGAGGAACGACTTCAATGTCGCACGACACAAGCTCAAATGGCCCGTTGGCTTATTAATAACTTTTGGTGCGCCCTTCCACTCGCCCCAAAAAATAGCAACTAACAAATGGACCAATATCACCACCGTATCCAAGTCACCCGACCCTCGATACGGACACTTTTCGTTTGTGCACAAAAGCAACCTTTACATATTTGGTGGCATGGCCTCCTGGGCCCCGTTGGCAGACGTCTGGATGTACGACACAAAGAAGTGGGAGGAGCAGGTGCCTTTTAACCCGGAAAAGAAACCTAAGGGACTTGTCGGACCAGCCTGTGTCTTCCTCACGAACAACAATCAAACCCGGCTGGCAGTCTTTGGTGGAGTGAATAAAGATGGTGTCACAATGCGGGAACTACACTATTACGACATCGAAACCAAGCAATGGTCTTTGGCGGATCACCAAAACTCTGTCGGACTATCGGGCGCCTCTGCGGTCTATCATGAAGCGACAAACTCGATCTACTACTTTGGCGGGATGATCAACCAGACTATCCGCAACACCATCCCCTACCAGTACTCGCTCGATCAGGAACTGTGGTTTGCACATGCACCCAGATTTAATCCCTTGAGTTCGAGGCCCATTGGTTGGAATGGAACGATGTATATACCCACCAGCGGCGATGGCGTAGACAACAACCTTGATGACCCTAAGGGCGACGGATCGTACAATAGCACGACCAGGGACTTGCAGAATCCTGCAATGTATGATGCTACTTCTGGAGTCTGGGCGACAGTTGGGCTCGCGGGCAGTGACATGGTCGTCATGTACGGTGGCATGCGGCCTTTTGGACTCGGGACCACAAACGAAACATCCTGCTTCATCAGAACAATGTACCTCTATGACATTTGTAAGTACTGGCTTTCAGACATTTATTATTGCAACCACGCCTCATCTTTGACAAAGTGACTAATTTGATATCTCGTTCATTTTTCACAACAGCTTGCCAGAAGTGGGCATCGTACGATATAACGGATGCATACAACTTTGTTAAGACAAGAGTCAACCATACGATGGTGCTGCGGCCTCCAGGAGCTGCAGGCGCAAGCAAGACCTCCTACACTGCGTACATTTTCGGCGGATTCGATGGTTACGAACATAACGACATGTTCAACATTACCATCAATATATATCCTCCCGCTGCTGCCGATGTCAACCGCTGTCGAGGTAATTGTTATCAGAGTTGATTGTACTTTTTGGTTTGCTCTATTCTGTCGTTTTCTCCTCCATTTGTTTGTCTATTTTTAAAATCTTTTCATGCTACCGCAACATCATGTCTTACCTGTATTTTTATCTCATTATCCCAATGCATTATTGACAGCATTGAATTGGTGCAACAAATACGACGACTGTCAGAACTGCAACCCACACTACTGCTCCTACATCAACGGACTCTGTCTCTTCGACACGGACAAAGCCAAGAAACCTGTATCCTCAGCAGCGCCCATTCTTCTTGGAGGGTCCGACGATGTACCTGCAAACGGCACCTTGCAAGACTTGCTGACTCAACGACCTGACCTCAAATCCCAAGTCGTCAAAGTCGAAGACTGTCCCTCTCGCATTGGAGTCAACACAATGACCCCCTTTCCGGGAATAATTGCTGCGGGAAACACCCTGTATTTCAAGACATACATTGATGAGCCGGATCGCGACATTCAGTTTGAAATCAACACCAACCCGAACGAGGCGCTTATCTTCCGGTCACTCAATGTCTGGGAGGGGTTCATGAATATGTACTGGCGAGCCGATCATAGCCTCTCAGACGGCACCTGGGACGACTCTCAACAAGCATCGACCATTCCTCCCGATGACCTCCCAGACAACAAGAACCCCCTTGATTGGGACCGGCCAGTTCTCACTACCTCGGGGATCATGAATGTTACAGAGCTGATGCACCGCTGGACAAAGTACTCAGGACTCGACGGATCGCCATCCCAGTCTGCCCTACAGGGGCTGTCAACTCAAGGGATTTACTTTTTCGCAGGAGATCCACGACGATTTTCGGGATACCATGTCTATTCAATAACGAACCCGACCGACATCCCCATCACCATGACCTTGACAGTCAACGTTTTAAATATTCCCGAAATCCGGAATGACGACCAGGACTCACAACTCAATCTAGCGACCTTGGGTTTCTTTATGGTTGGGTTCATCCTCGGCGTCCTCTTGCTCATTATTTTGGGCCGTAAGCTCCGAAGAGTGATCGCTGAGCGGGATGAGGCACAGTGGGCGGCTGCAGAGCTGAGGATGCGGGAGGAGGAGGCAGCCGAGGACGAGAGACGAGGAGCACTTGGATCCGAGACGAATATTACCCTAGGTGGTGGCCGAGGCGGAGCAGGTCAGGACGGACTCGAGAAAAGGCCCATGTACCGAATTGTTGTGGGCGTCCAGGAGGAAAAAGAGTCTGTTCCGAGTACTCTGAGACAACGTGCTGTCCGCAAGAACGAGTCTTCTCCACTCGATCGACCAGATTCCACTGCACACCAAGCAGTTACCTCGCAGACAGGAGTTCCCTCTCATGGCGGCGACGATGAGGTCGTTTTTGATGCCCAGGCAGGGGCCCGCAGGAAATCAGATTTCATACGCGATCTTGGATCTTCACCACCCAGCTCAGGCGGCCCTCACCGGTTTCCTGGCATCCCACCTGCAATTCGTAGTGAGCCGCTCATCAGCGAGATCCAAAGGCGGCACACGAGTAGTGAGAGGGTGCGGACAGAATTGCTGAATCATAACGGCGATTCCAGTAGCGGCGGTGGCAGTGGAACTTTGTCGGGTTTGGAGCGAGGGCTGTCACTAGGCGGACGATTGAAGGGTTCAGCGCCGTCGAAGCGGTTTTTGGACCACTCTCGAATTCGGCCAGAGGAGAAGGAGGTTCTGACGCAGGTATCTCATGAGGCTGCGGAGGATTGCCCTAGAGACGTGTTTTTGGGAAGCGAGTCCGAGCAATTGCCCTTGTCGAGTCTCCATCGTCATGAATCAACGCAGAAGAGTACGGTGAGCACAGAGTCGGACCTGCCATTGTCGCTCGTTCCCAAGGGATTTCTTCCAAGACGCCGAGTCCGGAACCCAATCATGGTTCAGCCCATTTCGGTAGAGCCCCTTCCTTTCCATGGAGGACTTGTTCCCAACACCCGTCAACAGTACCGACGATACCGCCGCTCACTCCAACGAAGACAGCAGCGGAATCAACAGGCACAAGAACAGCAAGCGCAACAACGCCAACAACCAGGGACCCCGGTATCACGTTCAGGATCGTCTTCAAGATCGTCATTCTCGGTCGCAAGGTCGTTTTCGAGGAGGAACGAATTACAGTCTAGCCTTTCGACACGGTCTAAGGGTTCTTTGAAGGAGGCTCGCAAGGCTGCTTCCAGGACGGCGCTACGCTCTGCAGGGGGTTCAGCAACTCCAGGAACTGTGATGGAGATGTTACCTCTTGGAGGATTGTCCAACAACAACAACAACTATCAAGAAAACGCTGACAGCCTTTGGCAAGATGAAGACGACGATCGTACGACGTCAAACACAGGCGCCGCGGGCCTATACAACGAACGCGAGGATCCTTTCAGGACAAGAGGCCCTCAAGAGTACGAGGCAGGCCCGTTACTAGCCTTAAACGTCTTGATCGTGTTCCCTGGAGATGCTGGAACACGGGAAGTTCTCAGAGTGGGATCTGAGGAAGAGGAGGACAATGTCGGTAAGAACGTGGGAAGGAGTGTTGATGAGGACGAAGCAGACAGACGGAGTCAAAATACCTTGTACAACAATATCATCACGGAGGTGCCCAGCACCGGCACCAGTCATAGCCCAAGTCCCAGCGGAACCAGTGGACACAATAGCCATGCCAGCAGCGACAGCAGGAGCAGCAGTAGTACGGGTGCCAACACAAGTGTCAACGCCAGTCTGAGTAAGGTTAATGTCGCCATCATAGACGATACGGAACAGCGACTACCACCCATGGCCATTGGTACCGTGTTTGTGCCAGATCCAGCCCGGTGGTGGGCGTACAAGGCCCAGCAACAGGTCGATCGTCGCCGTATCCAGCGAGAGCTCCGTCGCATACTGGCCCGACAGCGGCAACAGCAACAGCAGCAGTATCAGCAGCAGCAAAAGTTGTACGCGCCAAAGTGATGACCCCATTACGTAAAGCATTCAACAGCAAAACATAGAAGATTCAACACATTCGCATACTCACACCAAACACATACACACACACACCCAATTGGCATTTTTACATTAAACGAAAAAAGACAAATAGACATATTTGTATTTGTGTCAATGTGGATAAATGGCGGTGAACAAGGTTTGAGGGGTATCAAAGGGTGCGTTGAAGAAAAAGGCTAGCATCGACCTTTCAAAGGACCCTCACGGGCTAACGATGGTGAGGCAACACAGTTGTTTGACTAATAGGATCCGAAGATGTTGACAAAACTGAAGGCCGCTTCTTAAACTGGAGCCATTCCACAACCAAAGCTCCAAGCCAGAACCCGCCCATTAGACCGGCACATACCTGTGCCGCGTACAAGGCTATCGGTGGAGGAACGGGGACAATTGGCATGCAGCAACATGATTAGCTAAGATGTCATCAATCGTCCCACTGCTCAAATGATCTATCTTTTACTCCATACAATACATTACTTCCTCACTCACTGGGTCCTCCCCGTCCTCCACTTTTCCTCTTCCGCCCACATATGTTGTACTTGCTCGGTTCAACAACGACCGCACCATATATAAGACGCTTACTTACCGGCAAAGTTCCTGATAGTGCGGCACTGTGCCAACTTCTGGCCGGGAACCAGAGCCCCACAAGCCCTATTCAATCCAATCCCAATCTCACCACAGATTGCAAAAGAGAGCAGCGCCATAACGACGCAAATAGCCAGCAGGGTCATGGACATGATTCGAGGTGCGAAATCATCCCTGCGGTGAAGGACCATGCTCCAATACACTATGAATAAGAGTGAGGTGACACATGTTATCGCCCCTCCTATGATAGGGAACAGGCAATATCCTTGTCGCCGTTAAAGGAAAAATGAACAGACAGAGTCGGAGGAATAAGTAGGAAAGAGTGAGAATGAAAGGTTGTTAGGTTGTTAGTACTCTTCCCCAAACACGCTGGGTAATAATGACATGGGCGACATTTTGCAAAGGCCGTCTTTTGCCTTCGCAGTGTCCCTTCTTGGTTGTCTGACTCGCTCTGCTTACCGTTGTTGTAAGAGACGACCTTATCGTCGATAGACATATAGAGGAGGCAGCCATCGTCCAAATTCTCAAATGTGATATGGCCATTTACCCCGACGGTGCCCATGATCACCAACGAGAGGACAAATACAGCTGCAAGACATACGAGTGACAGCACCAGCCGGATTCGTGAATTGCTCGTGTTCAGCATTATTCGTTATCCTTTTCGCCTGTGTCACCAGAGAGTGAGGTGGTTGTTAAATATGTTGCGGGTAATTGGGCAGTTCCTTGGAATAGTTGGCGAGAAGGAGGAAGACTAGCTCACTTTTTACGGCGAAGAGACAGAAGTGTGAGAGAAGAAAGAGTTGTTGAGCAGGCGGTGGAGGGGTGATTGGTTGGTTAAAAGTGGCGTGTTAGAGTGGTAATAAATGAAGGAAGAAGAGGAAAGAAGAGGGAGGAAGAGGGAAGACTAGGAAGAAGGAAGAAGGAAAAAGACGAAGTGGGAAGAAGAGGAAAGAGGAGGGAAGAAGAGGAAGAAGGAAGAAGAGAAGCAGAGGAGAGGTCTAAGGAGGATGAAAACCTGAGAAGATAAAAAGGGGAGGAGGGAACAGGGGAGGGCAAAGGGTGATCGAGTATGATTGGTCAATTGACCGATGCTATGACGACCCATAAGCGCGACAACCTTGGAGTCGCGTTTTTATGTAGGGTATTGACGCAACGTCTGTGTTGAGCATAAAAAGTGAGTCTTTGTATTGTCGTCAAAAATCTAGTAATGAATGGTTGTCATAAATCCAGTGGTTTGTTGTTTTACAAGGCGGGTGTGTTAGGAGAAATAGTGGGCGAAGAGGCATCCGAAGGATTAATGTACTTTTCATCCTGAGGGGTAACCTCAGTACCCAGCAACTCATGCAGCTTGTCCTGGAAAGGACGCTTGCCCAGAAGGCGCTCCATGTCAGCACGGTTCAGAACTTCCTTCTCCATCAACAACTTGGCCACCTTCTCCACATCAGCACGCTTCTCCGTCAACAAGTCGGTCGTCTTGCGGAACGCCTTGCCAATTAACGACCGTGCCTGGTTGTCAATGATCTGTCCGGTCTTTTCACTGTAAGGCTTTGTGAACTGATCCTTGTCGTCTTGATTGCCGTACGACAATGGTCCCAACTCATCGTCCATTCCGTATGTGGCCACTATCGTTGTAAAGTGGTATAAACTTGTCAGTCTTAGGTCTACAATTGATCACCCCTTTTTTGGCAAATGCGCTGAATTATAAACATAAAGGGAGTCTTTTACCTTGGGCGTATGCCATCTTAGTGACCTTTTGGAGATCGTCCTGGGCACCGGTGGTAATAGTTCCGAAAAAGATGTGCTCAGAGACACGGCCTCCGAGAGTCATGCACATGCGGTCCATGAGTTGATGGGTTGAGTACAGGTACTGGTCCTTAGGCAAGTACTGGGCATATCCAAGAGCGCCGACGCCACGAGGGATAATAGACACCTTCAAAAGAGGATCGGCGTGCTCCAAGTACCATCCAGCAACAGCATGTCCTGCCTCATGATACGCAACTGTCTTCTTCTCCTCGGGCGACAAGACCTTGGACTTCTTCTCCAGACCGACAATTACACGCTCGATGGCTGCCTCAAAGTCAGCCTCAACGACCGTCTCTTTGTTGTGTCTAGCAGCAATCAGAGCAGCCTCGTTACAGACGTTGTGAATATCTGCTCCAGAGAATCCCGGGGTCAATGCTGCCAGCTTCTGGCCCAACTTCGCAAGATCCTCCTCAGTTTTGATAGGACGAAGATGGACTTGGAAAATGTCGTTACGTCCTTTGATGTCGGGGCGGTCAATGGCAATGTGTCGGTCAAAACGCCCAGGTCGCATCAAGGCATCGTCCAGAACGTCCGGTCGGTTGGTTCCTGCCAACACGACAATATGCTCACTCGAACCGAATCCGTCCATCTCGACCAGCAGCTGGTTCAGCGTACTCTCACGCTCATCGTTACCTCCGAACTGACCTCCCTTGCCACGAGCCTTTCCGATGGCATCAATCTCGTCAACAAAGATGATGCAAGGCGAATGCTTCTTAGCGCTGGCAAAGAGATCCCGGACGCGCGAAGCTCCAACTCCAACAAACATCTCCACAAACTCGGATCCCGAGACGCTCAAGAATGGGACTCCTGCCTCTCCAGCAGTCGCCTTGGCCAGCAAGGTCTTTCCGGTACCAGGAGGTCCGCTAAGGATGGCACCTTTGGGGATCTTGGCACCCAACTTTTCATAAGCCGCCGGGTTCTTCAAGAACTTGACAAATTCCATGATCTCAAGCTTAGCCTCGTCCATTCCTGCGACATCCTTGAACTTGACGGCGATATCTGTCTCCTGATTAAACAGCTTTGCCTTTGACTTGCCCACTCCAAAGATACCTTGTCCAGCGCCTCCGCCGCCCTTCTTGGCCATGAAGACCAACACTCCAACCAAGATCAGGGTGGGTGCAAAGTGGATCAAGGTTCCGAGAACGCTGACCTCGTCTCTAAACGAGACGGGGATACGTTCCGATCCTGGGATGCCGAGTTCCGACTGGGCCTCGTCGAGCTTGCGTTCGAAAGCCTCGACCGAACCAATTGAGAAGGTGTATGTCGTTCCGTAGGGCTGACCTAATGTTCCAGGGATGGAGCCTGCCTGTCCGTCGTTCCTCAAGAAGACCTTGACTCTGTTCTTGTTCAGGACAACGAGGCGATCGACCAATCCGCGGTCCAAGAAGGTCGACCGGAAATCCTGCCAGGTGATCTCTCGGGTGTTGTCCGAGGGTGACATGGCCTTATAGAGGACATAGGTAGTGAAGGCCAAGGGCAAGACTGTGCCAGGGTTGAGTGTCATACTGTAGAAGTGTTGGTTATTGTTATTGTTGTTTCCGCCCTCAGGTGCCGGTGTGGGTTTGCGGGAATTGTTGTTGCTGTTGTTGTTGTTGTTGCTGTTGTTATTGTTGTTGTTAGTGTTGCGGTTTCCGCCTTGGCCATTGTTCTTGGGAGCCTGACCTTTGCTTCCCTCTGTCTTTTTCATGACATCGCGCAGCAGGTTGGTCAGATATGCCTCGAATGACTGAGGGGTAGGGCTCTTGTCGTTGTTGTTGTTATTGTTGTTGTTCTTGTTGGAAGGTGGGGGAGTCTGCTTCTCGGAGGAATAGAATCTGGCACGAATCTGCTGGCGGGTTCCATTGGATGCAAGACGTGTCCTTGGGGAGGCAGAGGTGAAGCGAGCGAGGGCGGATGAGCGAATGCAGGCGGAGGAATTTCTTGCCAGGGCAGCGCGACTAAGGAATGCGCTCATGAGGGTTTTTTTTATAAGAAGATTGAGGAGAAGATCGAGGGCTGAAAGAAAATAGAGAGAAGGGTGGCGATGAAGGAGGAGGGAGGAGGAAGGAGGAAAACAGTTGACGAAGAGAGGAGAGGAGAGGAGAGGGGAGTAGAAGAGAAGTCGAAGGCGCTGTTGGGTTGTGCCTGGGTTCTGGTGGCGGCCAAAAAAGGTAATTTCTATCACTCCAGGGTGCAGACACACCTATCACTGCCCTGTCCTGCCTTCCCCTGCCCGGGAACCCGTTTGGGACACAGCGATCGGAAGACATCAAGATCAATCAATTCTTTTGATTGCCTCAGCCACCGCCACTTACCTTTGTAACTGGCTCCTCTTTGTCCCCTCACTCTCTATTTTGAAACAAAGAAGAAAAAACGCGACTAGGAATCAATTGTTCACCTTTCTCACTCTCTCATCCACAACGCGCACAATCTAATTAATCTAAACGACAACAACACTCACCGACCGATAAGAACCAAAAAGGAACACAGCTACAACACCGACGCCGAAGGAAAGCTAGCTTTCCCACTCAAAACCATCGAACATAAACAGACACGGACACAGACACAGACACATACATAGAACATCACCCAAAAAAGGACTGACTAATGTCGAATCGTCCTCAAAGACCACAACGACCAGCAACACTCCAGGAGTATCCCTCGTCAGGGGCGAATACCACAGCAAACGCAAACAACCAGTCTAATTCAGTACTCTTCAAAAGACATTCCAAAGGCGTCCCCAGCGAATCACAGGTACTATAACAGCCTTACTCCAGGAGTTCAAGGACCCACAATAGATACGCTTTTTCAGCGCGACTAACGAAAGATCTACCGCACTCATACTCTGCGTCCAACAACAGGCGAGGCCTAATGCCCTAGGGGGAACCAGTGCCAGGACACGGGCAGATTCATTACCGGTCAGGAATAGGGAGATGTCGGACGTATTCGCGGATGACGTTTTACGAAAGATTAGTACACAGATGACGGCTGCTGCTCCAGGTGAGTCGGCTCGTTTACTGGTTGTCAAGGTTAGCCAATCCAAAAACAAACAAAAGAAAGCTATGGTATCAATAGCCTTACACTGCCCTTCTCATGGAAAATATGATAGCACGGAGTGAGACACTTTACGACGAGAATAGTCACCTGCGCGCGCCACTGAATTCCAGGATGGCCTCTAAATCGCATATGGACATTGATCAGGTATCAATTCTACCCTTGCTTCGAACAGGAATAAGGTATTGTAATTGTCTTCGATTTTCTCAAATATTAACTTGCGCAAGTTGTATACAATTTGGTGTCTATAGAGCACCAAGCCCAAGGATGCACCTATGGCAGGATCCATGAGTTTGAAACTGCAGGAGAGCGCCATTATCGAAGATGTCTTGTTCACCATGATGGTACGGAGCGTTGCACCTAAATGCTATTGCAGCAAATGAATGTAGTACCGCAGCCATGTAGTCAGGTGGTTGTACTAGAATTAGTACTTACTTTTGCCTTCGACATTTCCCACATGTAGGGCATTGAAGGAACATACATCGGCATTGTCACGCCTGCAGCCGCACCTCAGGATTTGGACGTAGAGTACATTCACAAGGAATTCAAAACAGATGAAAGCCTCGGTATGTCGTAGTCTGGTGCAATCAACCCTGTCTTTATTTGAGAAAACTGGTTTCACATGCGCATATATATGTTAACAATGCCCATTTGCACAACCGTCAATAGATCCATCATTACGGGATTTGGTCTCACGGATACTGCCACTAGCATCCATCTACCTATCATTGGAGGCGTTTGTGGAACTGCACTCACGCTTTGAGTACGGATACGTCAGCCATGCACTATGTGCAGCCATCAGGAACCTGCTTAAGGTACATGCATGTTAACAAGAGCTTTCGAGGGAAGTAAGGCGGTAGCGCTCAATTGGGTGCAAGTGACACTGACAGCTTCTCTATCCCTATGAAAAATCTTAGGAGTACCTGATCTTGATAGCGCAGTTGGAAAACCAGTTCCGCTCGTCTCCAGACTTTACGCTTCAAAAACTGTGGTACTACATCCAACCAACCATGCAGACGTTGAGTTCACTTGACATCCTTGTAGGCGTAATTCGAGAAGCTGGCAAGAAGAAGGAGCCCGATGACGAAATTGAAGCACTGTTAAATCCTAAGGAAGGCATCCCGTTGGAGTGCAAGGGCGGGAGCATTCTCGCCATAATTGCCGCTGGCATGTTCAACATGAGCGGGTACGTACAATTTCCATGCATAATTTGTATGATCCTTTGTACATTTTAATACATGACTAACCCTGGCAAATGCGCAAATACTGGTTGATCTCCTTTCATAGTGATCCCGTGACAAAAAAGCTTTATGGATTCCTGCTCAACAAGGCATCGGTACCTTACACCACTATGCTGGAATCATGGATCCATAAGGGAGAGATCCGAGATCCCTACGAGGAGTTTATGATTGTGAAAAGTCGCAAGGTCAGCAAGGAGAACATCAAGGAGGACTTCAACGATGCCTATTGGGAACAACGATACACGATTCGGGAGAACTATGTGCCTTCCTTCTTGGTTCCACTGAAGAGTAAGATTCTTTTGGCGGGAAAGTACCTGAACGTTATCAGAGAGTGCGGTATTCACCTGTCCCAAGCTGACAGGAGCGCGTCAGCCACAGTACAACCATCTGCATCGACGAATGTTCCGGAGCGCAACGACATCTTGGCTGCCTTGAGTGGCGGGCGACTGGTGGATACCATCGAGGACGCCTATCAGTACGCAAATAAGAAATTACTGGACTTGCTTTTGAAGGACAAGCAGCTTCTTGGAAGACTTCGGTATGGATAGTATGATCTGCAATATCGCGGTTAACAGTCAGGTTCGCATCTTGCCATTAACAACTATACTAATCTCCAACTTCTGATTCTCGGCAGGTCGATGAAGCGGTACTTTTTCTTGGATCAATCCGACTACTTTACACACTTTCTGGATCTGGCCTCCGCAGAGCTGAAGCGACCATCGAAAGAGGTTTCTCTGAATAAGCTACAGTCTCTCATGGATTTGGCCCTTCGCAACCCGTCGTCTGTTACCGTCAACGATATTTTCAAAGAGGACCTCAAGGTTGACCTCAGCCATCTCAGCCTGGTCGACCAACTACTCCGGATCATACATGTTGGTGGACTTGGACAGGGACAAGCGCAGATCCAGGATCAAGGACAAGGACAGATGCTGGGAGGCGAAAGAGTGGACTCGCGAGCCTCCAGCTACAAAATCAGGAGCCATAGCAGGGGGGGCAGTGGCATCCATCAGCATCAAGGGTCAAACGACTCTTGGCAAGACGAAAATGCCGTGGAAGGTCGTGACAATGGCACAAAGAGCGGGATTTCTGCCGGAGGCTTGTCTTCAATGGACAGCATTATGATGTCGACTGCAGAGCTACCTACGCAAAGCAGAGGACCTCTCGCTGGTAAGCTACGACCACATTGGGTGATATTTATATCGATTGATGTGAGCTCCGCCAATGAATAATTATTTACAACTGTTTTTATGCATGGCATGACTCTAGGTATTGACGCCCTCACGCTCGACTATTCTGTCAAGTTTCCACTGTCGCTTGTTATATCGCGCAAGGCTCTCACCAAATACCAACTCCTCTTCCGACACCTTCTGTACCTCAAGCACGGCGAGCAAGTTCTCTGCGCCACGTGGACAGAACACGCAAAATCCACTGTCTGGAAGAACACGTCACCCGAGCTGAAGCAGTGGCGTGGACGGGTGTACAGTTTGCGGGCGAGAATGTTGACCTTTGTTCAGCAGTTTGCGTACTACGTCTGCTCCGAGGTTTTGGAGCCGAACTGGAGAGATCTAGCCTCCAAACTCTCCAAGGTGTCAACGGTCGACCATGTCCTCCAGATCCACTCTGATTTTTTGGATACTTGTCTCAACGAATGCATGTTGACAAACTCCAAGCTCCTTCGGGTAAGTTGATAAACATTTGTTAAGGTTGGTATGTTGTCTCCAGTATGCTGGCTGAGAGGCGCACTAACGCCGCGGTCGCTTCAATATTTCAATGATAACAGATCTATTCCAAGCTCATGTCGACGTGTATCAAGTTTACAAATTACACGGACCGGTTCACTCGGGCACTGATGGCGATGGAGAACCAACTGGACGAAGAAACAGCCGCCATGGCACCTTCTAACCAAGTCCAGCAGATCGAACAGGCCATGAAGCGACTGAACGAGTTTGAGGATGGGTTTATCTACCACATCAAGCTGCTGATCGAGGCGCTCAATTTTTACAGTGCCACAGAGACTGTCCAGTATCTGTGCCTTGTTGTCAGGCTGGATTACAATCAGTTCTATGCGAATCAGACAACAGCGAGTCTGCATCTCGCAGGGAATCCTTCCTCGTAATAAACGATCTTTGGATGGCGCAACTTGATGACTCTGCAAGCGCGAGATGATACAGGCGACTGTGGCAATCAAGGTGTGGGTGCGTACGCTGGATGATGAATGGATGACCCGCAACTTTCTTTGCTATTTCAGCACTCCACCAAGTGCAAGATATGTATGGTCCGTGAGAGATTGATGTTCAGCTGCCATGTAAACGTGGTAGTACACACCATGCAGTTGAAAAGGGGAATCCTTACCATGCGATCCTTATCTAGCCCTTTTGTACTTCGCTCACACAGAGCATATGAATAAATGTGCGACCTCTTTGATGACCTTCCTCTACCGTGACCCTCGTTTCACTCCTGCCATCAACCACTTCTACTCTACTCCTGCCATACGCCACTCCCATTTCGCCCACGACAATAACAACAACAATCACCATGATCATTCCCCCCTTCCTTTTCACCCTCGCCCAAAGTCATTTACCTCGCACTCTAATATTCAAACATCAGAGCCACAACAGGACAAAAGCGAAGAAAAGGGGAACAGCCAAACGGATAGCAGAGCAATACGACTAAAAGATGCTTGACAATCACCCAGATCTAACCCTTCATTAATATTTAACAGGACACATGGGACCACTTATATTTTCATCGTCGCTTCAGCCATTTTAGTGAGTGTCAATTAGGCAGAGGGAGCTGCAGCGAAAGATTAGCTCCTTTGCTTTTTGGAACAGCCCTCATCGTTGCTGTCATCGTCGCTTTCGAGTATTCTTGAGTCGATCAATAAACTCCACATGCTCCTGGAGGAAAATGTCGCCGAAATTATCATCGCTGACGTTTATCACGACCTGCTGAAAACCACTGGTCCTTTGGGAGTTCTGAAGGTGCTGGCAGCTTGTCAGTCCATTTGGTAGGGTATGCAACGGTCATGCTGATGTAGACGTTGTCGGGGCAGTACTTGCGAAAAGTCTTTGCGTGGCCCTCAATTTTGGTTGCCGAGGCTGTGTTGAATGCGTCATTCCAATCCCTCTCCGAAGACGACCCCTGATGCAGCTTCAATTGGACGAAGACAGGGACCAACCGAGCACCGTCGATCCGAATGAAGAAAACCAAGTCTGGTCCCGACGGCTTGGAGTTGGGGAAGAAAAATGGCGCGATCGGCATGTCGTTGCGGGTTGACCCATGGTTGACATGAGCGTCCATGAACTCCTCCATCGACATCATCGCGTGAGTCGTGCCTGGTTCGAGTCCAGGTTCCCTCCAGCCAACAAGTTCCACCTTCCTGACGAGAGCTGGACACATATCAGAGATGGGGGGCTGATGCGGCCACTCAGATAGAGGTCGTGTGTTGAATGTCTCACTGAAAGCCTTTATCATGAACCGCTCAAACGCACATCCATGTTCAATAGCCGTCGACTTCACTATACGCCTCCGCACTTCCTTCTTGAAGTAGGGATCATTGGCGACGAAGTGGTTTTCCACAGCCTTAGAAACGAAGGGCTCGTCCATCACGGTGACGGCGTGACCTTGGTCTTGATTCGACCAAACGCGTGCTCCACCAACGCAGGCTCTACTTCCTTGAGGACAAGGTCGTGACTCCCAAACATGCATTGCTGATACAAAAGGAGGCCCAGCATGCTGTCGATAAACTCCACAGGCTGATCATTGTATTTGCTGCGTTTACTGTGCAGGCGAGATATCTCGTAGCACAGATTGCCTTTGATACCACTCACCGATAGAGAACGACAGGTGGGTCTAATTAAAAAAAGTGTAATGGTTAATGAGCCGATGAGACAGCACAACCGTACAGCTCCATTAATGCTATTAACCCGCACACACAGTGGTCCCAATCACCCAGCGGTGAAAACAACCGCAGCTGGGCGAAGACTTCTGGACACCATAGCCATCGCCATCTCGAAGACGACAACAGCATCGATTGCAGCGCCACCATAAGCAGAGGGTATTAGCCTCACCCATGGAGAGGTCATTTGAAAAGACAGTCCAGCGCCCTCGCCTAGCCTATGCGTCTCTCATGGACCCACGGAGCAACTGAAGGCAACAGTTCAAATCCAGCACTACCACAACAGGAAGCCGTGGAGAGGTCGTAGCAAGAAGTAGTCCAGCGCCCTCGCATAGCCTATAGCTTCTCAGGTGGACCCTGCTCGCATCACATTCTCGAGAATCCGTACACAACGCCATGCATAACCTTCGCAGACAAAACCATTACCTGTCCTGCTCTTTCCTGTCCTGCCTCGTCCTGCAGTCCGTATCGTCGTCCTGCTCTTGCGGATTTTGGTGTGTGTGAAAAAGAAAATGGAGAGGAGGAACAGTTAGACATGCTTTCTTTGGCATAGCAAAAAATATGGGCGCAAAAATTACGTCACCGATGTGAGTAAATCGCCCGCCCATTGTCCTGTTTGGGCGTAGGGCGTCCGCATCATAGGCATGATGCCGTATCTTACCTTGCGCCATTCTCGCCACTGCCCATTGTAATACCAACACAACCCAAACAACGTACTTGTACACCATATCGCGAAGTCCTGTTCCCAACGGCAATCAGAAATAAGTCTGAACCCCACTGATATCTCATTGATGGTGACCGTGATAACAGGAACTATCAACATGAGTAAGCGACCGGCAGATCAGACTTTGGAGGTAGGTCGCCTTGCGATACAGATATTACAGTTTGTCCTTTTTTCGCGCCATGAATGCGATGATATTGGCTTGGCCAATTCTCTCCTCTTGTACTCTGCTTTTTAGAATCCGAGTGCACAAATGGTGAAGATTAACTATGCCGACGGCGACGATCAGCTGGTAAGCGACGGTGACAGCCTGGTCACCAGTGACTCTGACATTGACTCGGCTGTGGATGATATGACCACATTCCCAGGCGAAGGGATGACGTTGGCTGTCTTGCTTTGGAATACAACTCTTGATTTAGAGCTCGTTTCTGACTTGAGTCACTTGACGCCCTTCATCCTTACGTGGTATATAGGGGGTTTCAAACTTTGACATGTCCACGTTCAAATCGAAGCGCATTTCGAATTACACCAGCCCTAGAGGAAACGTATTTCCTTGGCGGATTTCCTTGACGGCGCATTTGGTTACACGCCGTCAAATGCCAAGGTTTGAAATCCCCTACTGTTTTCCATAGGACGATCGCTGCGTTTCTCTCAACACGCGCCTCATACTTAAGTTATTTGGTGATCGCTCAACCAAGCACGAGGCTCGTGCCGCTGAGTACATTGCCAATATGTGGCAATCGCCGTCACCAATTCCAACCGTGGAAGGTTATCTCAACTTCATCTCGGAGATGTATCCATCCGCACCCCAATCTGGTGTTGCGAGATCATGGAACAAGTTGAAGAAGTACTTCTCGGGTGAGGAGAATACCAACTTGGCAGATATTCAAGACTTGATCAACGTGCATAGTCTGGTAGCTGCCTTCACAGCCTCACCTTAGATTTCGGAGACACCTGCAACCAGCACCAACATATCACCTCCACTTCGCCGTGTGAGTGTGCCAGAAGCAACTTACTCGGCATTGCGACTACGCACGACCTCAAACCGATCGAAAGGCAACAGAATCAGCAACAGCAGCGACAGCAACAGTACCAACAACAACGGTACCAACAGCAACAGTAGCAACAGCAGGAGCAGTACCATCAGTGGAGGACAACTGTCGCCGGCAACGATCCTCAAGATGCAGACACTGTTCAGGAAGAACTTTGTCGAGTTTGGCGGCAACGTCTGGAAGCTGCCTTCTGGAGTCATCTTGGACAACCTACTCGCGGCCCACGTTGAGAGGCTGCCATACGAATCCGCTTTGCGTTCTTTCGTTATTGAGGACGTCATGGGGGTTCTGCGGCTGGCGACGGACGGGAAGGACCAAGCATTCTTCTCGTGGATCGACCTAAGAAGCAGCTGCCCGCCCTTTCTACACCAGAGAAGGCGTTCTTGAAGAAGTACAACCTGCTTCCAGACGATTTGCGCAACCTACTGGCCGCCAGTAGTTAGCAGACTATTGGCAGTGGCCTTAAGAAGAAGCCTGACGAGGAATTCCGGGAGGCTGTCCACACATGTGTGTTGCATCTCCTGACAGTGTACCGACAAGCGGGAATGGTGGTGCCGACGGACTCAACAGAACCTTGGGACATCTACGTCTTGTGGCACTTCCTTGGGGTGTTGATGTACTGCCCACGCCGTCTGGAGTACCAACCAGGTGAAATTCATTCACATGCGTCTGGCCACCGCCGGAACAAGGTTCGCACACGAGAGGGATGCCAATACACCGGCCACAAGGCGGTTGGTATAGTCGTCACGAAGCTCTCGCGGTTCGAGCTGTGTGCAATCGAGGCAGTCGAAAAGGACAGCGGTCCAAATGGCACCAATGCTCTCAATGATACGCGCAAGCTGGCAAAGATGACCAAGGATATATACGATAAGGTTCGGGATTTAGCGACGGCGAACATTCGTGACACTCTTCTCACCGTCTCACGTTTGGTATTCGTATCTCTTCCCTCACGATGATCCTGTACACCGTGCAGTAGAGACCAGGGCGACTCCACCAATTGTGCACAGAGTCGTCGGCTTCGCTTCCCGACATGTGGACGTAGGAGAATACGATGGCGGTGCTAGGAGTGCTGGAGCGAGTGTTGGTCTTCCGCAAGGCAATGATCGAGATGGGCTGGCAGATTCCCAATAATCTTCTGTCTCTATTGGGGGTAGTGTTCCCGGTGCACATGATATTGGCAAGCAGCCACCCTGACCTCTCCCCTCATTCCATTCTCTTTCTCTCTATCTCTCGTTCTCTCCTTCCACAGCGCACCTGTGTATTGTAATCCCCAACATTGTAAACAGTGAGTGGCTATGTATATTAATTAAAAATGAACGTCCTCGTCCTCTCATTGTCGTTTTCAACGGTGCTCTGGACGAGGTATGGCGTTTATTACTTTTGTTGCAGAGGTGTCAGAGTCCAATGATGGAAGATTGCAGTTGTGAAGGATCCGGAATCGATCGTTTTGGATGCGTGCCAGCGGCAATGGCGTATGACATTGACTTGGTAATATCTTGAGGGATATGCTATAGGTATACTCTCGCGGACGCGCAATATATTAGGTTATCAATCGCTCTCTAGTTAGTTATTGTTAGTGCTGCTAAATTTACTCTCATGACACAAACTAGTTCCAAGACTTCCAACGCCGAACAAGGATAAGGCATGCAACAATTTATGTAATTGACGCATAGTTAAAAATATATAATATAACGGCTAGATAATAAGCTAGGCCCTTGGCATATTTCTTTATACAAAACGAAGCTAGGCAGAATGACCACGCACAGATGCAGCTCTAAGCCGTCCTCGTCTCACTCGTCCTTATCATCGTCCTCGCCTCACTCGTCCTCATTGTCGTCCTCACCGTCGTCCTCACCGTCGTCCTCACCGTCGTCCTCACCGTCGTCCTCACCGTCGTCCTCACCGTCGTCCTCATTGTCGTCCTCATCGTTGTCCTCACCGGCGTCCTGACCGTCGACCTCACCGTCGTCCTCATTGTCGTCCTCATCGTTGTCCTCACCGGCGTCCTGACCGTCGACCTCACCGTCGTCTTCACCGTCGTCCTCATTGTCGTCCCCATCATCGTCTCCCGCATCATCACGCCTCATGAAAGAATGTATCGCGTTCGCGACACTGGCAACAGGAACAGCATCCGCATGGCGCTTGGTGGCGACGATTTCATGGGGAGCGCTTGAATGACGTTTCTCAACAGACTCGAGTTGCTTGGACGTGGAGGCCGGAGCCGACTGGATAACAGCCAAGGTGGCGAGGACTGTGATGAGGGCGGCAATCTTCATGCTGTGTATATGTTGAAAGGGTACAAGGGTGGAGGCAGAGGGAGTGTGTCGTTGGAGAGGATATAAGTAAGGGACTAGAAAGTTGAAATTCAAACCAAGAAGAGAGGTACAATGGTTCCGTATTTATAGCTTTGATGATGATGAGATGGGATGCATGAAAATGCGAGCGGTAATTCCGGAGGCACATCTCAAGCAAAGAGAGTCTCAAAAAAAGATTGTTCTGCCCCTGAGATATGTTTTTGCAATGTACAGCGCAGTTCCAAAAAGAATGTCACAGTGCTGGCGGTAATACCATCAGCTCAAAGCCCAAGGATTTTTTCACTGCGATTTTTTTGGAACCGCGCAGTACATTACGTGACATCTACACTGCTCCAGAGTTGCACTGAAGTCTCGGAGAAAGATTGTTTTGCCTCTGAGATGTATTAGTAAACACACAACCTGCCCCTAACACAATGCCTGTCGCTCCCCTTAACTTGTAGGGAATAATGAGTTTATAAAATATTAGCATCACACCCCTTCAACTAACACGCATGGACCACTGCTGCACGCGCCAGAATTGCCAGTCATACATAATCGCTCACTGACACTAACACACAACGCCAAAGAACATAAAAAGATTTACGAGCACGTGCACGCACTTACAAAATACCCCTTAAAGGGGCCATTCACGCCAAATTCGGGGTACTATAATGCAAGCATGAGCATCTGGGTATTGTCATGCATGCAAGTATTATGGCAACCCCAATGGCTCATGCTTACATTATAGTTCATGTTCCACCGAATGGGGCATGGATGGCCTCTTAAGTACAATAAACTTGGACAAACATGGAAATGCACAAGCTTACCAGAATGATGCTTATCAGATATGGTAGGGAGAATGAACATAAAAGGATTAAAAAAAGCAATATTGCTATGAACGATTGCCTTCAACAAACCAGGTGTCCCCCTAGAAACATAGAGAGAGATAGGGATGCACGGAGGGAAACATGGGCGAAATGCAGAGAGAAATAGGGGTGGATTGAGGGAAACATAAGGGAGTCGTTGAGAGAAAGAGGGGTGGATTGAGGGAAACATGGGGGAAATGCAGAGAGAAAGAGGGGGAAATGCAGAGAAAAAGAGGGGTAGATTGAAGGAAACATGGAGGAAATGCAGAGAGAAAGAGGGGTGGATTGAGGAAATGCAGAGAGAAAGAGGGGCCGATTGAGGGAAACATAAGTGAGACGTTGAGAGAAATAGGGGTGCATGGGGGGAAATATGAGGGACACATTGAGAGAAAGAGGGGTGCATTGAGGGAAACATGGGTGCATTGAGGGAAACATAAAGGAGACTGTCGCGTTCTGCGGGTGTCGGCTTAGCTGTCACCTCCTTTCAGTTCGATTGGGAACTGGGCCACCCAAGCTTCATCTTCCTAATTACTTGCTGTCTCCAAATCATAATTTTTTTAATTGACTTGAGATTGACATATTCATCTAAAGTGCTCCAATCAATTGATTAATCAAAACGCGATTTCGTCTTTTTTTTTGAAATGGTCATTCGCCAATCTGAACGACCCTCAGATTCCTGTCATTCATTCTCATGATTCATAACCTCAATCATGACAGCTTGCCTTTTTTTTGCATGGACCGACATTGGGTCATCGCCGTAATTGAAATGCCTTATGATGCTTGATCAATTAATTGGATTACATGCATAATGGTTGTCATTTTTAGCTTGCGGGGTCTTTTTAGTTTCTATCTACCTTCCAACTTCAATGAATTACTTCCTCAATTCTGTACGACCTTCTATCAAAGTTTGGAGTTCCTACCCAAAGTCCTACAGATAAATTGAAAGCATGTCCATACAAAAGACATGGTGTGCGATCTAGTAAATAGAAACGTGTGTGACTTTTTATCATTTCTAGAAGATATCGTTAAATATGTTTTGTTACGTGGTTCTAGCACGATTCCACACATTGTCATGATATTACACTCTATTGAGAATGGCTGGTTTCGCGCATCAAAGACTTTTAGATCGCACACCATGTCTTGTGTATGAACATGCTTTCAATTTATCTGTAGGACTTTGGGTAGGAACTCCAAACTTTGATAGAAGGTCGTACAGAATTGAGGAAGTAAGTCATTGAAGTTGGAAGGTAGATAGAAACTAAAAAGACCCCGCAAGCTAAAAATGACAACCATTATGCATGTAATCCAATTAATTGATCAAGCATCATAGGGCATTTCAATTACGGCGATGACCCAATGTCGGTCCATGCAAAAAAAGGCAAGCTGTCATGATTGAGGTTACGAATCATGAGAATGAATGACAGAAATCTGAGGGTCGTTCAGACCATTGGCGAATGACCATTTCAAAAAAAAAAGACGAAATCGCGTTTTGATTAATCAATTGATTGGAGCACTTCAGTTTAGTTCAGTAGTTCATAACTCACATCTTTATTAAACACAAGTAGCAAAGTGGTGGAGGGAAGATGATGGTCTGGGGTTGCATCACATATTTCAGCGCAGGAGACCTTAGCAGGATCCATGGGACGTTGAATTCGGAATTCTTCCTCACCGTCCTCAACGATTATGTTCTCGGCTCCTTCGAATGGTTCGGCATGGATCCTGCGGAATCGACATTTCAGCAGGACAACACCCGAATGCATACAACAACCTTGATAAAGGAGTGGTTGGCTGTAACGGGCTTTTACCGTCTTGTTACGGGCTTTTACCGTCTGGGTTAGGTTTTTTGAGGAAGAGTTGTTTTAATAAAGGGTGAGTTCTCAACTACTGAACTAAACTATAAACTATGTACTATTTATATATGTGTCCGATAGAAGCCAGACGGGCTTCTGGAAGTTTCTAAGATCCTATTGATTAGTCAGCCTAGTGTCAGCAAGGACTAGAAGGATCTCGAACTTGGTCATGAGTTTCGATCCTGTGACCTAAGGGTGTCACATGGTCAGTCATATCAGAGTGGATACTCTGACACTCCCCCTTCTAAAGGAGAATACGGTGCTTGGACAAGTACTGGTCGAGGAGGTCTTGGGCATTTGCTAAGTCTTCAGCAGTCTGCCAGGTGTTTTCTGAGTGGGGATAGCCTACCCACTTGACAAGGAAACGAAGGGAGCCATTGGCGGACTTGGTATGCTTGACGATCCTTTCAACTTCATATTCTTCTTGATAGTATTCGGGATGGTCGGGGACTAAGGGTTCTTGATCAGTGTCCGTTGGTTCTGGGAGGATAAACTGATTTGGGTCGCGAGGGACGTGTTTTCGAAGCTTGGAGACGTGGAATATAGGATGGATACGAGACTTGGGCGGTAAGTCAAGCTTATAGTTAAGGAGACTAGGACGTTCGGTGATCTTGAAGGGTCCGAGGAATCGCGGTTGGAGCTTGTTGGTAGTGGTGCCGGTTGTGGAGAGAGACTTGATGTTTTCGGAGTCGAGATAGACAGAGTCACCTATTTCAAAGATGTCGCGTCTGTGCTTGTCGTACTGCTCAGACTGAATTTTGTGACTGTCTTGGAGTGTGTCGTAAATAACGCAAAAACGCTCGCGATGTTTTTCAACTGCATCTCTCACCGATGGCAAATGGACTTGAGGCGATTCTTCCGACATCAGACTGGCAGGAACTTGGGGTAGGTAATCAAACAGGACTTGGAATGGGCTGAGACTGGTGGACGCGGACTTGGATGAGTTATAGGCGAACTCAGCGTGACACAGGAATTCATCCCAGTTGTCTTGTGTCTTGGAGGTATACATGCGCAAGTACTGTTTGAGGGTTTGAATCGTTCGTTCGGACTGTCCATCTGTTTGTTGATGGTGGGCTGTCGACATGTCGAGGTTGGTACCAAGGCAGGAAAAAAGACTTGACCAGGAGAGGCTTGTGAAACGAGTATCTCGGTCGTAGACAATGGACTTGGGGAGACCGTAATGCGTAAAGACAAACTGGAAGAATAACTGGGCGAGTTCGGAACCGGTACAGGTAGTCTTGCAGGGAACGAAGACAGCAGCCTTGCTGAAACGATCGACAAATACGGCAATGGCGTCGTGGCAGGACTTGGTTTTCGGGAGATTGGTGACAAGATCCATGGCAATATGGGTCCAGGGTCTCTCCGGAATCGAGAGCGACTGTAGTAACCCATTTTCTTTTGTGGTTCTTGTTTTAGAGGTCTTGCAGGTATGACAGGATTCGACGTAATGCTGGACGGAGCGGTACATGCGTGGCCAGTAGTAGAGTTCGGACAAGCGGAAATATGTTTTGTCGACACCATTGTGACCTGCAGTGGGCCAGTCGTGAACCTCGGATAACAACTGCGTCTTGATGGTAGGCAGGTCGGGAATACAGAGTCTGTCACCCTTTTTGAGGTACAGAAGGTCGTTCTTGACTTGGTATTCGAAGGGATCATCGACATCGGTAATCTTGGATGCGCGTTCGAAAATGTCCTTGAAGTACTCATCCTTGATAATCGTTTCTCGGCATAGGCTCTTGATGTTATCACCAACAACGGGAGCGGAGACGGTGGTAGCGGAGAGTTGATAATCGGGACGACGGGACAGCGCGTCGGGAACGACATTGAGGGAGCCTTTGTGATACTTGATCTCGAAATTGTACTCGGCTAGTTTCTCATTCCAGCGGATCTGTCGAGGGCTGAGGTTGTTCTTGGTTTGAAGGTACTTGAGTGATTCATGATCGGTATAGACCACAAAGGGTCTGGCGGTCGAGTGAAGGTACACACGCCATTTGGTAAGCGCATGCACAATGGCTAACTGCTCCTTTTCGTGAATAGGATAATTAATTTCGGCCGAGGACAGTTTGCGGGATTCGAAGGCGATAGGGCGACCGTTCTGGCGAAGTTCAGCTCCAATAGCGAAATGAGAGGCATCGCAATGGACTTCGACATCATCACCAGGGACAAAGACAGCTAGGACGGGAGCTTCAGTTATGAGCTTTTTGATAGCGCGGAAGGCCGTTTTTTGCGCATCTTGCCAGACAAATGGGTTCCCTTTTTTCAACAG